ACATTATGTTTTAATTTTTTATTTTATTTTACTCTAGTTCTTATGGTAATGAATGTTATTATAAAAACTTTGTTATATATAAATTGTTGTGTTTATTCAAGGTTTTGTGCAAAAAAACCTCAAAGTCGCTAATTTTTGCAATTTTACCTTCCATCTCCAAAAAATGCAGAATAATCCTATGAAATCCAAAATAATAGATAAAGATGTCAGAATTACACAAGACGATACTAGAAATATTGTGTTATTCCGTTATTGTGTTAAATGGCTACACATACATATATATAGGATTCAACTGCTTTGATTCTCATACTATCCTGAAGCGCATTCTGCAGCTCCTTGATCTTCACAAATCTTTGAGCGCCTTTCGCAGCTCTGTGATCTTCACAATATTCTGAGCGGCTTTCTGCAGCTCCGATAACCTGAACAACAGTCTGAGCGCCTTCCGCAACTCTGATGACTGTAACAATGGTCTGAGTCCGTAGCTTTGATGACCTAAACAACGGTCTGAGCTTTCCACAGCTCTGACTTTAACAACACTCTGAGCGCATTCTGCAGTTTTGAGACTTTAACAATGGTCTGAGCACATTTCGTAGCTCTGCTGACCTAAACAACGGTCTGAACTCATTTCGCAGCTCTAATGATCGTACCATATTACCCCCCTCAAGTTGGAGTGTGTATATCAAGAACACCCAACTTGCTGAGGAAAACAAACAAATCTCTGATGACAACCCATATGATATCTTCTATGATGACAACCCATATGATGTCTTCTTTGAAGCCCATTCCGCAGCTTCTTTGATGATTAACCACGCAATAGTCTAAGTGGTTACCACACGACTGATGGCCTTCCACGACTATTAGCAACCTTAGGAGATCTTCGAGAATATCCATAAAAGGAATAAACTTGCTCCTCAAGTTTATCCTTTCCATATGTTGATTCAGAGAATATTTAGTGAATCTGCAAACCAACAACCACACCAAGAACACGGCACGTCAGCTACTCGCTTCGTGAGTACGCCGCAGACTCCTGATACAGACTCATGTGTCTTCAACATCAACGGAGTAGCAATCTGTTTGCGAAGCCCCAACCTTCCTTTGACAACCACGAACACGAACATCTGAGGCCACCAACTAGTTGAGCCCGACAGCGACTGAATGTCTTCCCCCCCTGAAGTTGGAAGTGTGTAAATGAAGAACACCTAACTTGCTGAAACACCAACCATCAAAACCTTGCAGCGGAAACAACGGTCTGAGCTAAACAGCTCTTACAACCAAACATATCAGGAGAAAATCATCAACCAGAAAAATCTGAGACTTGACACAAAGAAAAAAACGAACAAGCCCATGCTAAACCAAAACCCTAAAACACCATGATCTACCCCCGTAAACCCAAATCTAAAAAAAAACACTCTCCCAAAACAAAATCCTAATCTTAACCAAACCCTTTCTCCCACCACCGAAGATCTCACCAACTGAATTATTGAAACATCAAAAACGAAACCCGACAAAGACCAAAACGACTAACAACAAAAAAAAAACACCAACGTTCCTCTTTTGTTTTTATTTTTCATCTTAGCAGAAGCAAAACAAAAACCCTAGAAATTGTAACTTAGAGCTCTGATACCATGTCAGAATTACACAAGACGATACTAGAAATATTATGTTATTCTGTTATTGTGTTAAACGGCTACATATACATATACTAGATAAGGCCCGCCTAAATAGGCGGGTGTAAGATATAAATGTAAATTTTTAACGATAGTATTTGAATTTTGAAATACAGTTTAACTATCTATTTCATCATATTGAACTTGATTATAATTCTACACACTTTATCTTAAGTGATAACAATTTTATATCAAAATACTATTTATCTCAGATAAAATCTATATCTTAGTTAATATTAAAAATAATTAGCAATTAACAAAATATAATTAATAAAAAACATAAATCCACAAAAATATTTGAAAAACAAACATTGTTTAAAATATATTTTTATATATGACGTAATCTCGTAAGTTAATTTTACCTCATGCAAACTAATTTTAAATGAGTTAAAATTAAGTAATAAAAATATACTAACTTCTCATTAAGTAATTGAAAAGTCAATCGTATAAGATTTTTTTCACAAAAATTGTGTTTTCACTTGTGACTACATACGTTGAAATTCTTAGAATAAAACATAAGTATAAGCTTGAGGTAACACATCAAAGGATGCAAGCCCCTCCATCATACGATAGCGTTAAAATTCTTAGAATAAAACATAAGTATTCAAAAATTTATTCTCATAAGCTCATTAATTTGTTTTAGTTTTTTTAATAATTAAATTTAACGAATGAAAACACTATATTACAATGATACATACAATTTTATCTAATTAAATTAATGTTAAATAAATCATATGATTATTTTAAACTTCAATGGCCTTTTTAATTAGTTATTATCCACACTAAATGTTTTTTTTAAAAAATTAATATATACTAAATTTAATTGACCAATAACACATGTAAAAACGAATTTGTTAATTTTCCTTTTGGTTAAGAAAAATATTTTTTTTTAGATATAGACATATAAATTAGTATATATAAATTTGTTTCTTTTTTTAGTTTTTCTATTTCTTTAAAGGAAAAAAAAAAGTTAACTCTTTTCTAACAAATATCAACATCTGATCAATAGACTTGACACGTGGCACAATCCTATGAGTTACTAACTTTGAAAACTATATTTTATATAATAAGATATAGGATTTAGAATATATTAACCTTAATCACATATTAAATCTAATAAAACCCGCATCAAAAGCCCGATCCGATTCTAGTCCAAGGCCTAAAATCAAAAGTCTGATCCAATCCTATTAAAAGAAAACCTTTGGTCATCGTATCTCTAAGTCTAAGCGGCTCCACCTATCTGATTATTCTGATGAATTATGGTAAACAATAAAAGCATCGAATTTAGTTAGTTGAAAACATTAAAAAAACAAAAAAAAAAAAACTAACCAGGAATAAACGATTGCATAGACATACACGTCCACGACGCGAGTCGAAAAAAGACAATGCAAAAAATCAATAAATAAGCATTAATTAAAATATATGAAACAAAAAATCATTAACTAGACATAAGATATTGGCTATATGGCTATATTCTATAACGACTTAACGAGTGAGACACGGCACATATACAGTACACACACACACTCATATTGCCTTGATGAAAAAAATAAAAAAATAATTGCCTATAACGAGTGACGGATAAGTCAAATTTGTCACACTTTTCATTTGGCTAATTTTATTGATTGTAATGTTTTTTCCTTTCATTTAGCAAATTATTTCGTCAGTACCAAAGAAAAGGAACATCAAATGACGTAATGTCGACAAGGAACTAAACATGTCTGTCTTTTAACCAAAAAAAGAAGAAGAAGTAATGCTGCATTTTCTAATATATCTTACACCAATATTCAACAGATTATAGTTTTTAATTGAATTTATCATTTAGGAATTAAGTAATTAGTAGATGATACTTTTCTTGAATCTGCATTTACATACCAATTTTTAAGAACGGAATAACAAAACGGTATATGTTCGTGAGCAAAAAATAACAGTTTTTTCTTCATTAACTCCACCTATTTGCTGGATTATGATAAACAATGAAATCATCGAACATAAAACAAATAATGAAACACTTTAGTTGGTTGAAAATTAAACATAAAAGAAAAACTAAAATAGGACAAAACTTTACACACAACGATTGCATATTATATAGACATCACTGCACGACACGAGACGAAAAAAACAATGCAAAAATCAATCAATACATATCATTAATAAAATATAAATATATTAGTATATTCTCTAACGAGTGAGACACGGCACATATATACAACACGACCAGTCACATTACGCTTTTCATTTGGCTATTTTTATATTTTATTCTATCCACTTTTAACGAGTGTCGATAAGTCAATATTTGGTCACGCTTTTCATTTGGCTATTTTTATTGATTCTAATATGTTTTTTTTTCCTTTCTTTTAGCAAATTATTTCGTTAGCACTTAAGGAAAGGAAGATCAAATGACTTAATGTCGACAAGGACTTAAACAACATGTCAATGTGGAAGATCAAATGACTTAATGTCGACAAGGACTTAAACAACATGTCGATGTCTTTTATAATATTTTTCTATATTATACACACATTTTGGATTAAACTATTAAATTATTTTAGAAGCTACAAAATGATATATACAGACATTAATAATGTTGTTATAATAATTCTAATGAAAATTTAGAAACTAAATAAAAAAAAAAGCATTTTAGAAAAAAAAAACATATAGTAATTTTAATATATTTATTATAAAATACCTTTTTATAATTTTTGTTAAGTACTTTCTTCCATTAGTGAGTGTCGAGATACAAAACCTTCTTTGTTTTATTATTCTGGAAGTTTTCCTATGTTTCATCCTGTTTTTTTTTTTTTAATTTTTTTGATGAATATTATTTGTAAAACGGATTAATCATAGTAAAATTATGGAGAACTGCATTTTCGTCTAAAGAAAAAATCGTGTATAAAGTACAAAATAGTGTTTTAGTCCCCAAAATCTTCTGTACAAAAACAACAATACGTACACGTTCATTTCACATTTTTAAAATAAAAATCGTAAGAGAATTCAATGATACCTCATATATTTATTAAACTATTTCTTTAAGATCTTCTAAGATGTATATATGACTAGATAAACCTTGGATGAAATACTCATATGAATCTATGCATATTGAGTATTGACATCAAGTATAGTGTGTAGATTAAAAATTGATGTACACATCACTAAAAGCTCGTTTAAAAATATGTATATTTTTCGACAAGTATGTGATTATTATATGGTGTTCAAGAATAAGTCCGTCGTGTGTTCTTTGTGGACTTGTGAAATATCAATAATTATATCGGCGAGGATTGATGGGGCCAAGTCGGCCAGTTTCAATTCTCTCTCCACCGAAAAATTGTGGTTTCCACATAATAAAAGTAATAAACGTAAGACCGAAAATCTAATGTGAACAAGAATTTTTGTCTTATAAAAGACATAACTAGACTGAAGCACAAATTATAGTTCAAACCAAACACCTCAAACACAAGAAATGGTTTCCAACATTGATCACAAGGCTATGGAAGCACTCCTCCGTGGACAAGGATGCGCTAACAGCCTCAAGATTCTCCTCGAAAACGGCGAAATAAGCTCAGTTTCAACAGAACCACTCATCAACACCATTCTCGATTCTTTCTCGCTTGTTCTGTCTTTTGTGGATTCTCCTAATCCTCCACTATACCATGAGTCTTCTTCTCGAAACATGGCAAGACCTACGCCCCGGAGATCATCTAAGGAGTACGTTACCAACAAAAATCTAAACTCAAGTTGCATATGTTCTATGAAAAGTTTCAAGATTTTTTAATTCAAATTCAAGTGAAGTAGCACATAATTCTATATCTTACTTTATCATATCTTCTATAACTTAATTTTGAGTTTAGATGCAAGTGTCTTCTATATTTTCGATAATTTCTATAGTGCAACATCGCAGAAAACTTTGTGGAGCACAAGGTTTAGTGAATTACAGAGATGATTCCCCGATTCCGTGTCCCAATGATGGCTTTGCCTGGAGGAAATATGGACAAAAAACCATCAAAACCTCACCGCACCAAAGGTTAGTCAATTAGGTTAACTAGAAAAACAGAGCAAATGCTCTGTTCTTACAAAAACGAAAGTGAATTCTCTTCTTTGTTCTATGAAGGACATGTAAATAGAGTAGCGGTTATTTCTTTATTTTAAACGGCGATAGATAAAAGTGCTATATTTACAGGTGTTACTATCGGTGTACCTATGCAAAAGACCAAAAATGCAATGCTACAAAGCGGGTGCAGAAGATCAAAGACAACCCTCCAGTGTACAGAACCACGTATATGGGAAAACATGTGTGTACTGCTTCTGTAGGTCATGATGATACACACAGTTCCAAAATGATCCAGTTCGACCAAGTTGTTTCTGAATTGGTTATGCCTCAGCTCACAACGATTGACCACCAAGTAATTACCATGGAGGACAAAGTCACACACTATATCATGAACCAAGAATGTGATATCGATATTAATGATTATTTGGTGGGTTATGACCAATTTTGGGCGAATGAATTTCCCCCATTTCCATCAGACGACACAATGTTTTTTGACAACATTCCTGCTTTTGATTAGAACCCTATCTAGGTTTGAACAACATATCTATCAAGCTTTTTATGTTTTCATGGTGGAGATTGTTTGTTCCTTCACTTCTTTTCAGGTTCATGTTTTGTAATTTAGATTCATATGCTTTAAATTTACAGTGTCTTTTTGTGTAAAGAAGTTTCATCTATCATGTACTTTTGCGTTTATTCAGAAAATAAAGAAAGGAAAAAGTAATATCTATATAACTTTTGAGAGTGCCCTTAATTGTTGATTCATAAAACGAGTGGATTAATATATAACAAATGATTCGTTTATCACTAATACTTCAATGTTTTGGGTTAAAAAGAATTAAATTTTCATGAGGAAAGTAAAGCATTTTTAATTTGATTTCTGCCTATCATGCGATTACTAGTGCAGTATATTCGGTAAAATTATTTTGTAACATCATCACTTCTGTGGACAATTCCGATTGCTTGAACAATAGCTGGAAGAACTTTATCTATGCCATTATGACCAGTTTATTCAACCAAGTGATTAATCTTGCTAAATTATCAAAAAATGGAAACTTGTCTTACATCAATACATGTCGTCGAAGGGACTATACATCGCACATGGAGTAAGCGTATCACACTATTGGAGCTAGAAGTGGATTGAGAGTTAGTAGTTGGATTTTTCGACAAATGGATTAGTGATTCTCACCCTATCGTTTCGGGTACGTCTGTACCATGCTTTTTTATCTAGGTAATAGATAGTCCGAATTTTTCATGTTTTTAGAGAGACTAACCGTTTTACCGACGGGTTAGCAAACTATGTTTTTACTTTGCTTTTAGGCTTTCATTTGCTGGAGTCAGCGCCAACTGTTGTGGTGATCACAATTTTAATGACTGAGGAACGACGTTTCCAAGACATACCTGATTGTAATTTTATTTTTCATTTATGAATAAATTACGGGTGTCTTCCTGTCCTCACAAAAACAAAAAATACATGTCGTCGAAGAGATGAAGAAAGAGACGAAAATAGTACCAAAATCTATCATTTTTCGGCCGAGAATCTCTTAATTATAAGAAAAAACAATCGATCATTTTTTTATGTCATTATCTTATTTATACTCTCTCTCCATTTTAGTAAGTTTCAAATATTTTAGTTTTTTTGTTTGTTTCACTAATATTTACTAGTATGTTTTAAATATTTAGTGTAAAGTAATGTTGTATTTCCTAATTTATCTACACCACTAATATTCAACAAAATAGAAATTTAGTTTAAATTTATTATTTTGGAATGAAGTGAGGTGGCGATACTTTTCTCGAATTGGCCTTTACACACCAACGACCAACCTCAAGAACAGAATAACAAAACGGATGTTCGTGAGCAAAACTTAACTTTTTTCTTCCTTTTTAGCACTTATATTAACTGTTTAATCTTTGAACAGAGTGTGTTTACAAAAATGATATATTTTAAATTCAGTTAATATATACAAGTTAATTTGTAGATTTTACCAACAAGAAAAAATAAAAAATAATAATTTGTAGCTATAATTCTTTTCTTATAAATGTTTGACATTGTTTTCATCTCTCTCAACTCTGTTCTTATTCATTCAAACCGATAAGAAAAATATCGTCGTGTTTATTATTCACACCGCCATTGTTTATTCATCGGAAAAGATAACTTTCACGATACAAATAAGGATCTAAAACATTTTTTTGATCTTTACAAATAGATTTACAAAGTATAGATGCAGATCTAAGGATATTTGTGGAGATAAGTCAAGATTTAGAAAAGTAAAATATAATGCCAAAACAAAAAAATTTAGAGTGAAAAGGAAGAAGACGATGGAGCATAGCCTATGCATGAATTCAATCGAAACATGCTTTTTCCTGAGAAAAAAAATTGAATTTCATCAAAAATTCTCAATTAGTTAATGAATTAATATGTTTCTATAAATTTAGATAGATGTTCATATACTTTCATAGAGTCATATATCGAACTATAAATGCTACATTTTTTAATAGATATCTACGCGATTAGTTTAGTGGTTTAAATTCAAATTAAAATTTAATAACTGTCACTTTGTTCTATATGTTGCCGCGTGAAAGTCAATTCAACTGTTAAACATTTATAAAATGTCAGATATTTCTATCCTCTCCCACGAGTATGACGAAAACTATGGCTGATAATCTTGTAATTATTCGCAACTTGAAGGCCTATTCCAACATTTATTGTTATGTTGTCTATGATACTTGATACTCATGTTATTTTCTTAATTATATGCCCCAATATGTCTCTGAGCAAATTCACTCTTTTCTTTTTTCTTATCTATTTCCCTTGCTCTTGGCCCAACTGTCCTGTCGTCACAACATGAACAAAAAAAACAACATAAAGACATTTATGGTAGGGAAAAAAAATGAATTTTTAGAAGAGCCAAAACTTTTTTTTTTGTGCAACAGAATGAGCCGAAACTAAATACCGAAAGTGAGTGATTATATCAAATGTAGGGCCTAAGCGCTCTTGGGGACACCACCAAGCTTGTGTGTTCTGTGGAGAATTGGATGAAACAAGAGATCATTTGTTTTTTGCTTGTCCTTTCTCTTTCTCGATTTGGTCTAGTATTGCGAGGAAGCTTCTTCGTCATCACCTAGATCCGGGCTGGGAAGAGACACTGACTGCGATTGTGGGTCTTCAAGGGGACAGTAACAGAGACATCCTTATCCGGCTTTGCTTTCAAGTGACAGTCTACACAATTTGGCGAGAACGCAATGCCCGTATTCATGGAACCAGATTCTTGACAGTTGAGCAAATAGTTCGAAGCTTGGAGAAACTTATTCGCAATCGGATCTCCTCGCTGGACTACTCTACAAATCCGAAGATCTGCCTCCTAATGCAACGCTGGTTCATGGTCCGTCTGTAGCCGGCCTCCTCGTGGCTCTGTTTTTTTTTTTTTCTATTTTTGCCCTGTTTTAAAGTTCCAATTGTTTTCATGTTCTGATTTTTGTACATACATTCCTATAGTTGCAGATTAATAAATTACACATTTCAACAACAAAAAAAATGTAGGGCCTAAGTGGGAAACGATGTGAGGAAAAAGAGAATTGTAGGACAACATATATGTGAAGCTTTTGCAGTTCATGATGATATACATATGGTTCTGAAATGATGCAATTCAAACGAGTTGTGTCCGAATTGGTTACGCCTCAACTTGCAACAATTGACCAACAAGCAATTACCATTGAGGACAAAACCACAAACCATATCATGAACCAAAAATGTGATATTAATGAATTTTTGGTGGATGATGACCAATTTTGGCCATTTTCATCCAAAGACCCGATGTTTTTTAACAACATTGCTACTTTTGATTAGAACCTTTTCCAGGTTCAAACAATAAATCTATCAAGCCTTTTAAGTTCTCATGGTGGAGAGTGATTGATTCTGCATTTCTTTCGGTTTTGTAAAATGTACTCCCTCTGTTTTTGAAAAGTTGTCGTTTTAACTGTATTTGGACAAATTAAGAAAAGGTATACAATGACTATATTAACCTCATAAAAATGACAAGTAATTATTTACAAATAATTTGTGTTCAATAAAATGAGGGTAATTTGGGTAGTTATTGGCATAAATTACATTATTACCTTAAAACGACAACTAATTTAAAACAAAAAAAAGCTCTAAAACGACAACTATTCGAAAACGGAGGAGTATCACCTTTTTTTTGTGTAAGAGGAAGTTTTCACCAGTTATGTATTTCAAAAGAAAAAAAAAAGTATCCATACAAGAAATGGAAAAGACGATAACACAACAGAGAAAATGGTAGAGAAAGACAATAATACAACGAACTGATAAAAATAACGTTTGTGATAATATTCTAATTAATTAGTATAATGCACATGGAAATGACCTTTTGGAACAACCTAACAAGGTTAAAATATTGTAATAAAAAAACATATGTGCTGATATGATATTCATCATGACAAATAATTGATAAAATGCTATTGTGTTTTATCTTAAGAAGTTTATTGGCATCATAAAAAAACTTCCCATCATAAATGACTTCTCAATATTTCATGAATAAGTTATTAAAGGGGTTTGAAAATCCTATACTATTATTTGGGAAGTACATTTTATAAGATACCCTTAACTAACCTTCTCTTTTGTAAGAATTTACTTAAGAATGTCATTAGAAATAAAATTTTATAGAGTAAATTAATTCAACTCATTAAGGATAAACAAGTCAAATACTATTTTATGCAATTTAATTATAAAAACGAAAATCTATTATTAATTTTTTTAAAAAGAATGACCAATCAAAATGAACATATAAGATTTGATATCTAACTTATCACATTAATTTGTTATTAATCATTATACTTCACCTCTCATCTTTATATTATTCTATTTCTATAAAATAAATAAATTATTATATCATCTACATAATTAAAAAAAAAAGTAAAAAATTTTCGCATATACAAAGATTTGAATTTTTAAAAACGAATATAAATTGTTCAATGTATGAAAGAACAAATTTAACGGGTCAAAAATTCATATTTGAGTAATATATTTCTTTTTTTAATATCATCAATACTTAATAGATCAAAAAGTTAAGAAATATAAATACTCTAATTTGATTTTTTGAAAAAAAATATTTATAATAGACGGCGGTTAAATATAATGTATTATATGATGAAATGAGTTATGATCCTTATAACTATTTGAATATTTATATTTAATTTCATATATATATATATATTTAAATTCATAATTTTACATACTATGATAAAAGTTTTTAAATATTTTAATTTGGAACATTTAAAAAAAGTTTAATTTTATATATTAAAGAATATCATAAATATTTAATAGATTAAAAAGATAAAAAAAAATATGAATACTAATTTGATTTTCTAAAAAGATATGTTTAATATATTTATAGTAGGCGGCGGGTTAAAAGTAATGTATTATATGATAGAAAGTTATGATCCTTATAATAGACGACATTTTAAGATTTTATGATGAGATGAGTTAAATAAGGTTTGACACTTCTAAATATTTGAAAATTTAATTCTGCAAGCAATTTTGGAAATAATGAATAATAGATTGTGCCACAATATTTTCATAAGGATTGTAAAATGAAAATATAGACTCCACACACGGATCGAATTTGGTATTATTATATACCAAATATATGTTCATAACATATTCGATTATGTGAATAATTGGTAAATTCCGTAATTAGCTCAAAAAAATCTCTATTTCAACAACCAATGAATTAGAATTTGAAAAAATAATTTCCTAAATTAATTCAAAATAATAGCTAACTTTTTTAACTAATTCAAAATAATCTACGTTTTAGATGCGATTCATTTATGATATTTTGATTTTTGATCTAACTAACTTATATGCACTCTCATTTTGTGGTTGTTAACATAAATTAACTCATTCTTCAAACAATATTATTTTTTTGAAAATAATATAAATTTCCGTTTTCATATCTTTAAAAAATATATCCATAATTGAGGATTACAGAAAAATAAAAATATATTCATTCTAATATAATATATATGGACTGACATAAAAAATTAATATTTTTTTACTTATTATTATAATATATCACGATTTTATTCTATAACTATATAATATATAAATTTTGTAATAAATGAAATTCAATCCGTATTGTAGTACGGGTGATGATCTAGTATATATTATGGAACAAGCGCATGACCAAGATTGAAGAAAGACTATGCATAAACCAAATAAATATAAAAATTAAAATTAAACTTAAAAATCAATCATTTTGTTGCCAATATTAGTAGCATTTTTCCATTTTCTTCAAAAATTTCGATTTCGTTCCTACATCTATCTTCCTCACTACTAAAAAAATCATTTGGTCAATAGTTTTCAGTTTTCACAAAGAAAGCTATGTAAGACCACATATATATCATAAGCAAGAACTATTTCCGTTTTTGGATTTTGATAGAAGAAAACGTTAATTTTTAAAAATCAAAAGCCAAGATTTGAATATACCAAAATTTCTCATAATGTTTCTTGAGGATTCTTGTAAGCGTCACTGAATTTGAGTGTGTTTTATTTTTTCAAATTTAATTAACTACTACATAGTTTTGGTTTAAATTTAATTAATCCATAAATTTTGTGAAAAATCATTTTATGTAATAATGTTACTATTTTATCAAAACTTGAAGTAAAGAGTATATATACAGTATAAAGTTTTAGCACTAACAAGTGTTTTAAGATTTTAAATGAGATCGTATTCATTTTATTAATTAAGAACTTTTATTTAATTTGTAAATAATCCAAACTACATATATATATATGATGATGATGCTATCACGACAAATTAGTCAAAAATGGAGTGCGTATCTTTTCCATATTCTTATGATTAGTTAATTATGAGAATGACCGTCACGGACAGTGACTTTACAATCTCTCTTTTTCGTTAGCAAGAAAGAACAAAAATCAAATGACGTAATGACATCTGACAACATAATTCGGTGAAACAAAAATTGCGGATACCAAAAGTCGGTAACGAGAAATAGATTGGTTTTATTCTGTTTTACACATTTCTACCATTTTGATATTTTCGGAAAATTAGTTTTTCCATACCTCATAATTACATTATGTTATATTTATATCTAAATTATATCGTTATGTTAAAATACATTTTGAATAATAAAATATTTAAATTTTATAAATATTTTATATTTTGTGCAAAACTATGCAAATACTCTAAGATATAGGATACAAAATACTCTAAGATATACAAATATTTTGGGTATTTGAGTACCCATCCAGATAATATTTTCTAATCGGTTATCCCTCCAAGTGTCGGGTATAACTGGGTACAAATATGTTGGATATTCGGATATCCGTTAGGAAAAATCTCGGTAATCGAATACCTGTTTGGATATCGGATAATATTCGGATCCAAACTAATACTTACAAGTAGACATGTACAAGACCCAATAGAATAATTTGGGTAATCTGACGATCCAATAAGATAATTTGGCTATATCCATAACCGATTTGAACTGATTATTGTGGGTCAGTTCCGGTTCAGTTTTTCAGATTCGGTTTTTCGCCCATACATATTTTTCACTCGAGAGAACGAAGAATATAGAACCATAAAACGACGTCAGATGCATTCTAGTAATACATTATGACATTGTTTTAGCTTATGATTCCAAGTGTTCGTTTTAATCCGAAACATGAAGTATATGTACGGAATTTTTAATTTTTAATTATATACACTATGTTTTATCAGTTTAATAATTATAGTTTGAGATATCATACGTACGTAATATATATGAAAAATTAGATCTGCATAAAAACTTTAGCATATCATAAAATCTAAAATTTTAACAGAGAATTTTGTTGAAAGTAATGGATCGTACAATCCATAACACTTGCTTCGTCTGTAGGTATTAGTCAAGTTTTCAAGATTCTTTCTAGTTTTAGTTTCGAAACCCGTTTTCTCGATAGTTACTCTACTCTCGAACCGAGTTTGTTCACCCCAGATAATTGATATCGCTATAAAACATCTTAATGCCTTTTTTTTTGTCATCCGTAATTTATTTCTTTCTTTTTGTAATTATTACTAGAAAAGGTATATAATTAAAAAAATTTAGTTAAAAACATCTATCATTTGTGATCTTAACAAAAAAAAAATCATTCGTGGTGGACTTGTTAAACTATGATTCAAGTCATTTTTCACCTTTTTCGGTGGTTTCGTCATCCTTTCTCTCGAGTGAATCAAAGACCATATGATGGGAAAACAAGAATGTGATAGGAAAACAAGAATATGATAGGAAAACAAGAGTGTCTTTCTCTCTATTTCTCTTGCGTAATGTTACGTAAGAAGAATATTAAACATTTTTCATGGATTATTGATTTGATTGTAAATGACAAATTTTGGCCACTTTTGATTGGCTCTGACAATAAAGTCAATAATAGGTTGCGCATCTTTCACCGGACCTACACAAAAGGACCACTAGCCATCTAATTAATCTGTGATTAGTTTAATTATGAAAAATCATGGCTCTTTTAGAGACATATCCCGAAAATAATAACATTGGTTATGGAGTGATTATGTGACATTGTCAACATGATCTAAAATTTATGATTTAATTTGTTTAATTAACTGTTTAATTTGTTTTAATTCTACTGAATTGCTGAATTTGATGGATAACAATATTAACTAAATAATTTTCTTTTTGTCAAAAGTCGTAGTTAAATAAACATGTATGAAAGAATTAGTTAGACTTGAAATAATTAATTAGACTTGTATCAAACAGAATTATCATTAAATGCAGGATTATCCTCTCTTTTTTTTTTTTTTCTGACTAACGTAGGATTATCGATTCGTGTTATCTTCATATGTTAGGGATAATTTGGTTTCTACATATTAAGATAATTCTAGTTTTTATACTTTGACACTAGACCCTCTCATCTCTCTACGTGTCTTTGTCTTTTTCTTTCTCTTATCTCTTTCCCTTGATCTAGGCAGCTTGGCCCATGTCAAATCAAGACATTAAAAAAATAACATAAAACATTTATGGAAGAAATTTAAAAAAATGGATTTATATTAGAATGAACAGCTTTCAATTAAAAAATTATGAATACCGAAAGTGAAAGATTATATTATATGTATGACCTAAGTGGGAAAGGATCCGGAGAAAAAAAGAGAATTGTTGAATAAGTTTAAGATTGAATTTGGTGATTTAAAAACCTTTAAGAGCTAGAGAACTTTCAATAATTTAATTTTCCACATTATAATCTTAAAAAAAATTGGTGTCCACTAGAGAAAAAATTTCAATATATAGTGAGAAGTAAACAAGATTTTTCAACCTAAAACCAGAAAATGTTTTCCAACATCGATCATAAAGCTGTGGCTGCACTCCTTCATGGCCAAGGATGCGCTAACATCCTCAAGACGGTTCTCCACAACCGCGAAATAAGCTCGGTGTCAACAGAACCGCTCATCAACACCATTCTTGATTCTTTCTCACTAGCTCTATCTTTTGTGAACTCTCCTAATCCTCAACCAGACCATCAGTCTTTTTCTCAAAACATGGCAAGTCTTATGCCCCGGAGATCATCTAAGAGGTAAGTTACCATTTACCAACAAAACGATAAACACTCATTGCATATGTTATATACAAAGTTCATGAGTTTCTATTACAACATCACAGGAAGATTTGCGGAATAAAAGGTTTAGAGAATTACAGAGATGATTTCCAAACTCCGCGCCTTGACGATGGCTTCTCCTGGAGGAAATATGGACAAAAAACCATCAAAACCTCTCGGCACCAAAGGTTAGTTAATTTGGTTAGTTAGAAAGACAGAGCAAATGGCATGCCCATTAAAAAACAGATTCTCTGTTTTATGAAAGACATGTAAATAAAAGTAGCTCTGTGTGTGTGTGTTTCTTTTCTACATAGCGACAAATTAAAGTGTGATATTTACAGGTCTTACTATCGGTGTGCCTATGCAAAAGACCAAAACTGCAATGCTACAAAGCGGCTGCAGATGATCCAAGACAGTCCTCCAGTATACAGAACGACTTATCTGGGACAACATACATGTAAAGCTTTTACAGTTCAGGCTGATATATACAGTCCTGAAATGATACAATTTGACAAAGTTGTGTCCGAATCGGTTACGCCTCAACTGGCAACAATTGACCAACAAGCAATTGTCATTGAGGACAAAGCCACAGATCATACCAAGAACCAAGAATGTCATATCAGCGACTTTTTAGTTGATTATGACGAACTTTGGCTGAATGAGATTCCCCCATTTTCATCGGGAGACCTTTCATTTGACAACAACATTGTTGCTTTTAATTAGAACCCTTTCCAGTTTTAAACAATAAAGCTATCAAGCTTTTTATGTAATTATGGTGGAGATTGATTGTTTCTTCACTTCTTTTCAAGCTCATGTTTTGTAATTTAGATTCATATGCGTCTACCTTCTTTTGCTTTAAATGTCTCTTTTTTTTGGTGTAAAAGGAATTTTTGTTAATTATGTATTTTTTGCGGTTTTTTAAAAATAAAAGAAAAGATTTAATTGGTGACACTAGTTTGAAGAATTGTTGAGGAAATGTTGTGGAATTTTAGTCACATCACTTGGTTACATAATATTTTAAAACTTGTAATGTTTTTATCATTATTAAGTTTTTTATAAAATTATAAATACTTTAATATTATAAATCAAAATTTCAGAAAACATTTTTTATCAGTTTGCATGATAATTATATATCAAGAATCACTTAAATTTTCTTACGAAATAAAAGACATAAATATTGATGAAATTGGTTAGGTTCGTGAAAACAACTATCAAGTGAACAATCCTATTTTTATGATATTTCCTAGTAGAAGGTATTAGTATAAATTTATTAACTAAAGAATATAAATAATTTGGGTTATTAAAAAAAGTAAAATATTAATATTAATTTTAAAATTTTAAGGTGTTATATCATAATTTTGTTTGATAAAACTATTTTAATATATTAACTTAAGATTCTACCAAAATTTAATTTTTATGAGTTAAATTTTTTTTTTTCTGAATTACGTTCTTATCTTAATAAGATTATTTTTATTTGTTTAATTCATTAATATTGTTGACAAAAAATGTTTTCAGTGAAGTATTTTCATAATTTTATATATTTAATTAATTTCAAAAAGTCAGCCAGATTCAGTGGTTACAATTTAAATTCTAAATTATTCAGTTAGATTCGAGAGAAAATACAAATAAAATCAGCAAATCAGCCAGATTCAACAGTTACCATTTATACGTAATATCTACAAAGAAAAATTAGTTAAAAGTATTTATACAATTTTGACTGCCCTTGATTGGCCATATTAATTTTATTGCAATAGATCCTGCCTTTTTCATTTTTCTTATTTTTCCCATGCACGAGAAATTGGAATTTTATCTTTTCTCTTTTAAAATTTATCAGTTAGATCTGCATAAAAAATTCATTTTCCTACCTTTTTCGGTGGTTTGGTCATCTTTTGTCCTCGAGTGAAAGACCATGCTGGGAAAAGAAGAATATAACATACAATGTGACGTACGAAGAATATGACGTAAAAGAAGCAAATTAAACATGTATTTTTATTTTCTTTAGTCAACATGAAACATGTGTGTAAATCTCATACTTTATTTGAAAGAACACAAAAAAACATGAAGAAGATTTATTTATTGTTGTTGACGTTTTCTACCTATCACTAAAATTTGGGCATTTTGGTTGATTATGACCAACTTTGGCTGTGTGAGTTTCACCCAGTTTCATCGGGAGATCCAAGTTTTTGACAACATTGCGGCTTTTGATAAGAACCCTTTCCAAATTCAAACAATAAAAGCTATCAAGCTTTTTATACTCTCATGGTGGAGATTGTTTGTTTCCTCACATCTTTTCAGGTTAATCTTTTATAATTTATGTGTCTTTTTTGTTTTGTTTTATAATAAAGACAAGAAGAAGTGACATGTCTATTGAAGATTCATGATGCTATAGAACAGCAAATATTTGACAATCTAAAAACATTATGCAGAGATGGAAAAGACAACAACACAGCTGAGAAAGTGCTTATAAACTTTGGAGAAATCAAATTGAACAGAGCAAAATACCAACAGAGTATTATCTTCTTGGATCATTTTCGACATCAACGAGTTTTTCATAGACTAGCGAAAACGATATCACCAAATGTGAATTGCATCAGAGAAAGTTAGAAGAATCAAACCTAGTTCTTCAAAAGCACTATAACCTTAATTCCAGAACAACCTCACAATGTGGAACATAACTATGGCAAATAGAACAACAACAAAAAGAGAAACTGAGAACTTCTGCAGGTGAGTGATAATGCATACAAACAAAACGACCAACATCAGAAATGATATGATAATTCCTCCTCTTAGTCTTCATCTTCTTCTTCATCTTCTTCATCAGCTTCATATTCTTCTTCAGCATCATCTTCTTCCTCTTCTTCTTCTTCTTCTTCTAGGCTGCGGATACAAAGACGCATACACTTCACGACACCACCCGCCCAAGTCAAGAAATAGTCAGGAACAAACATGAAGTCCTTCTCTGGAGTTTGGAAGCTCACTTTCTGAATCCTATTCATCTCCGACGATCTAAACGTCAAAGTGTCACCTGCCGTCGAGTAGGATAGCTTATAGGATAACTTTCCAACTCCTGGAGCAGAAGGTGCTATACAATTCACAGTAAAAAACAATCCGTATGGTTCCTTGAAACACTGAAGCACAACCAATGGACCATCTGTATATTTCTGAAAGACCGAAAACTTCGACTCGACGTTCATGCATGCATGAATGGAATCGCCATACCTGAAACATTCTCCCGTGACCTTGTGCTTAGTAGCGTAGTGACTGTAGAGATCCTTGTACACGCCGCTGTATTTGCAGTTTGGTGAAGGACAATAGCACAGAGAAAAACCGCATTCCTTCTCATGGACTAACTCTTTGCCATAAAAGAATGTCTCGGTGCAGCCATGTTTAGCGTTTGGGCATGGGACAATGACTGCTTTGACAACTTTCTCCATTATTCTACATCGGTAGTTACCAATGGGAAAAGTGCATAAAGGGCATTTGTACCTCATTTCAATACAGCAAGAAGAGCAAGCTATATGTCCATTGTCACACTGATAAGCAAAGCACACAGAGTTAGTTACTCGAATTACAAGTCAATGAAACTAGAACCAAATAAAAATCTGAAACTGGTAATTCATATGTTATCTAGGAAGGAACAATGATCCATAATGTTTCTTTAAGCAATATATTCACAGCACTCGTTTGGTATTCGATCAAACCGAAAAAGCGGTGATAGGTACACTAGTAAATCACATTTCAGTGACTGTAATGAAATCAACATGCATTTCTAGCTAATCAAAGTTATCCAAAAAGATCAACAAAAGCTAGGTGTCCTCTTACACATACTTCATTTTGAAATTTTGAATCACCCAATTACTATAATGAAATTAGCATCTATACAACATGAATTTCTAGTTAATCACAACCTAAGTCTCACGCATGTGCTACTAAATGAAATCTTCCTAAAAGTCTCACAATCATTTTCAAAATTTTAAATCATCATGCGATTATAAGGAGAAGAATGGTGAAGTAAGAAGATAAGACCTGAAAGATAGAACTCGTGAGTGCGTTAGAGCAAACAGGACAATCGAGAAGATGTAGATCGAACAGCGTTCCCGATCTTGCCTCCGATTTCACCACATCTCCAGTCCTCGTTCCTCCACCATTCTCGCCTTCTTCTTCTTCTTCATCATCATCGGTGCAGCCATGTTTAGTGTTTGGACATGGGACAATGACTGCTTCCACAACTTTCTCCATTATCAGGCATCGAAACTCACCAATGGGCAAAGTGCAAGCAGGGCATTTGTTCCTCAGATTAGTACAACAAGAAGAACAAGCTATATGTCCATTGTCACACTGAGATTAAAAACTACAAAGTTAGTTAATGATTCTTCCTATAAATCATTAACCTGAAGAGGACGCGATTTCTAAGTAAAAACAAGAACCTGAAAGATAGGACTCGTGAGTGCGTGACAGCAAACAGGACAATCGAGGAGATCTAGCTCGAACAACGTTCCAGATTGTGCCACCACATCTCCTACACCATTCTCGCCTTCTTCTTCAACAATGGAGGGAACTTGTTGCCTCTTTCGGCGGCTACACGACGCTTCTCCAGCGAGGGCTTGCTCGGCGTTGGTGCCTTTCACCATGGCTATCGGAAAATTTTCGAAGGTGTTAAGTCTGGAATCCGAAGAGTCTCGCTTGGCAATGTAAATAAAGGAAAAGGTGTGTAAACCCTAGTTACCTTTTCTTATTTTCCCGCTGAAACGTTTCCAGAGTTTGGACATTAAATTATATTTTAACGATTGATTTTTCTTATATGATAATAGTGATACTCCTTCTAATCAAAAAAGATTGATTTTTTAACGATTTTTACAAAAATTAAAAAAATAATAAATTAAGTTTTATACTTTCTCTCCAATTAATTATTGTTGTGTTATGAGTCAAGTGTTAGGAGTACGAGTATCTATTTCCAGTAGTTGTAATTACACCACATATTAAATGTTTACTTTGACGTCTTTTCAAATTTCCTCTACATGGAGTACAAACTTACGTTTACCTCCTCATTGTAAATGCCTATAATTAATTATGAACTCATTGTAAAGGTAAAAGCATTTATTGATTAATTGGTTTTGAAAAATATATATTAAATATAATACAAAAATCAATTTTTTTGATACAAAATTAAAACTTTAAAAAATCAAACATTTTGATACAAAGAGAGTAATTTTCTTCATTTTAGTAAAGAAAGTTCTATCGACCAAAAAAAGAGAAGTTCCTATGTTTTATTTGCAAATTTTTATGTATTATTCGATCTAAATGGTATTACAGAGAACAAAAATTCCACTCAAATTTCAATAAATTTAGCAATTTTGTCAAATACTATTTGTTACTTGTAAATATCAAATTCCCCGAAATATGTTAGATTTAACAACTCTTCCAACATCAATTCATATAGAACTCCAAAATTATCTAAAACTATAGCATGGGTAAATTGTATATTTAAATTTGATTTTCTTAAGATTAATACATTTTGATGTATAATCACTCAGACAATCTCATTTTGTTGAGTTTGATTTATTTTGGAAACTTACTAAATCTTAATATTCGAATTTACATATAATGAACTATTATGATTAGAAAATTATTTTGTTGATGAAATGTATTAAATCATAAAATAGCTTATAAACAAAACAACCAGAAATGAGTCGAATACCTTGTAAAATCTTATAAATACCTGTTAAAACCTTTTAAAATACCTTATAAAACTTTATAAAATATATAAGAAAACCGTCTAAATACTTGGATTGAATCTCCAAATAGTAGTTACCATCGAGAAGTACCTTCTAAACTTTATAAACTTTTTTTGTTCACTGGAAATTTTCTCTTTTGATATTTGATAGTCATGTAATTGATTACTGTTAATTGTTAAAGTCATTGGAATGTGATAGTTTATGTTTCCAACAAAATTATTCACAGTAAAGTTTCTTTAGTTGATAAAAAAAAACTTAAGAATTGGGCTTAGCCATTAGCTAGACGCTCATTCATCATCTTGTCTCTGTTAGCTATGGATTCATTGACTAACAATCAGGTTTTTAATTGCTTTGAAACTAATTTGCTGACTTTGTGTAAATAGTGCAACAATGTTTTGTATATCCGTGGTGTGCCAGAAGATGAAGAGCTTGAAGACGATGCAGAGAGACATCGAGGAAGAAAGTGTGTTACAGAGCTTGTGTAAGTTGTTGAGCCAAGTGTCAGTGTGTGCCGCCGGGAACCTCCGGCAACACAGCAGCATGTCCTTGCTACGCCAATACCCGTACACATGGCAATAAACTCAAATGTCCTTAAAAGACTTCAACACTCTCTCTATATATAAATGCTCTCATCTTGTGATTATTATTCTTCTTTTGTTATTATGATGTGTGATGTGTGATGTGTGATGTGTGATGTGTGATGTGTGAGCTTATTTCCAGTTTTCCATTATGTTGACATTATTCAACTAGATTTCTATCGATTCCAAAAAATAAGCTGAGTGTTTTATTGGTTACCAAGTTTTAGACGTCTGGTTTTATTTCAATGCATATAATATATATATATATATATATAGAGAGAAAATAACATTTTTAACCCTTAAAGTGTAACTGGGTAGCACTTTAAACCTGGGAAAACGGCCAATTCCCCCCCGAACTAAGTTGCTTTATCGTATTTATACACAGAACTTTGTTGTGTGCGTATAACTACATGAACTTACAATAATTTTGAATTTCCTACACGAACAAAATAAATCAGGCTTAATCCATCAAACTCCCTAACGCTGTTAGATTTCCGTTAACAGAAAGCTGACTAGGATCCTGCGTGGAAGAACAACGTAAAACGCCGTCGTTTCAATTTTTGAAAAAAATAATTTCGAATATTGGCGTAAGTGGGATTTGAACCCGAGAGGCCCAAACCAATTTAATGAAACGTCACCACTTGTGCCATAATGACTTTCGTTAAAAATCCAAACAGAGATATATAAAACACAAAGTGGAGAGAGTCAAGCTTTTGGGTTTTGTGAGGTTGAGAAAGAATTGCAGAATATATAGATATATATAAATATGATTGTTTACAACGTAATAATTGTGGTAGTGTAATTGGTAATTGGTTCGTACATTGTCATTAAAGATCTATGGTTTGAACCACCAAATGTCCTATTTTTTTAGTTTTTAATTTTAAATGACTCTACGTGGCATTCTAGACTCCAACATGGCATCTTAGTCAGCATTTTTTTTTTTTTTTTGTCATCATTAGTCAGCATTTGGCAGCATTTGTTAACATTTGTTAACGGTATATTAACGCCGTTTAACGATTTGAAGGGTTTAACCAGATTTTGATTTTTCATGTAGGAAATTCAAATTTTATCTAAGTTTATGTAGTTATAGGCACAACTTAAAGTTCTGTGTATAAATACGATAAATCAACTTAGTTCGGGGGAAATTGGCCGTTTTCCCTAGAGAAAGCAGTACAAATTCCAACAGACTCTCGTCTTCTTGGATCCTTTTCGATATAAATGAATTTTCTCGGACTACCAAATGTGAATGTTACCATAAACAAGTTAGGGCATGACTGGTTTAAACGCAGCGGTTGCGGTTGCGGTTGCGGGAATTTGCGGAAGCGGGCGGTTGCGGTTTCAAGTGTTACCAAACGTTTTGAACGACTGGTTTAGCGTTTGAAAATAGATGCGTTTGCGGGAGTTTTATGACTGGTAAACCATCGTTGCGATAGCAGTTAAATAAAAAAATGACCCAAATAATAAAAAATATTACAAAAAATAAAATAAAAATACCAATATATTATTATGATAATATTAGAAAAATTGAACATGCTTAATAATTAAAACCATAAATAAAGTACTAAATAGTTATTCAAAAATAAAAATTTTTTGTAATAAGATAGTATTTTATACTGGGTTAACACCAAAAATTGCATCAAGTAATGGGATAAACTGTAAATAACGTTGAATTCAATCAAAAAACAAGTGATTTTCTATTCGAGAAAATAAATCGAAATATTCAATCAAAAAGCAAAGCAATACATAATGAAAAGAAAAAAAAGATGCCAAGAAAAATATTCAAAGAGTTACACATGAGGTGATGAATGGATAAAATGATATATGATACTTACGTTTGGAACTTGATTTTCATCAGTTTGGGTAGAAGACATTGAAAAAATAAGATTTTAGAATATTGATTAGGGTTTATGATGAGAACGTGATACAAAGATGAAAGATACATATAGGATTAATATATTTTATAATAATTATAAGTAAAGGTTTGTTTTTTGTTTTTTTAAAAAATCCAACCGTTACCGCCCGCAACCGCAACCGCTTGCGGGAAGGAGCTTTTGAAATTCAGCGATTTCGAACGGTTTAAAGCGGTATGGAGCAGTTTCTATGATTGGTACTAACCGCTAACAACCGCAACCGACCGCTAGCAACCACTAGGAGGGTGCTAGCGGGAGAACCAATCAAGCCCTTAGAAGAATCAAACCTTGTCCTTGAGTAGCACTACAAAACCAGAACAACCCCACCACCGAGAACATAACTCAAACAAAAACAATGACGACAACATTCAGATACGGTAGAGTAAGAATATGATTGAGTAACCCATCCAAACATGAACATGGGTAGTCATAGATCCCATTCTAAAACATAGACAATGCTCAAAGAACAAACATAAACATGAGTATAACAGATGGTTGGAGAAAAATCAGCATTAAGTAAAACAATGAGCAATGAAACTTTTTCGTTTAGAGTGCATAGATGACAAAATAAAGTAGCTGCAGAAAAAAAACATCAGAAATGTATTAAAAGGGTAGATGAAGTTATGAACAAAACGACCTACGATGGATATGATATGATGATTATTACTCTTCTTCATCATCATCATCTTCTTCATCATCATCATCATCTTCTTCTTCTTCATCATCTTCATCTTCATCAGCTTCGTCTTGTTGTTCTTCTTTTTTTAGCTTGCATATGCAAATTTCCATCTTTAACGTAGACCAATCACCCAAGAAATAATGAGGAACTAACATGAAGCCCTTCTCCGGAATTTGAAAACTCACTTTCTGAATCCTATTCATCTCCCCCGATTTATACGTCATAGTGTCCCTACCTCCCATCGGCGTCCTGTATGAGAGCTCATAGGAGAACTCCCCAACTCCTGCTGCAGAAGGTGCTATACAATTCGCAATCACATACACTCCTTCTCGCTCCTTGAAACACTGAACTGCAACTAATGGACCATCCCTATATTCCTGAAGGACTAAAATCTTATCACTGATACGCAGCCATGCACCAGTGGAATTTCCACACCCAAATTCATTCCATGTGTCCCTGTGGTTAGCGTAGTAGTGCCTATAGAGATCCTTGCACACACCCGAGTAGTTGCAGTTTGGTGCAGGACAATAGCACAGAGCAAATCTGCATTCCTTCTCATGGACCAACTCTTTGCCATAAGAGAACTTCTCTGTGCAGCCGTGTTTGGCGTTTGGGCATGGGACAATGACTGCTTCCACAACTCTCTCCATTATTCTAGATCTATAGTTACCAATGGGCAAAGTGCAGGAAGGGCATTTGTTCCTCAGTTTAGTACAGCAAGAAGAACAAGCTATATGTCCATTGTCACACTGAGACACAAAACTCACAAAACTTAGTTACACGGATTACAAATCATTGAAACTATAACCAAATACAAACTTATACAAATCTAAAACAATCCATTATGTTTCTTCAAGCAATATATTCACAGAACTCGTTCGCTGTTCGCTATTATTCGATCAAAACAAAAAAAAAGTCTTCTTTACGAATCATGATAACCACATTTCAGTGACTATAATGAAATTAAACATCTTTAAGGCATGAATCTTAAGCTAATCACTGTAATCCTAAAAGTCTCACACATACGCAAAATTTTTACCAAAATCATCCAAAAACCCTAAATCACAACAGTTTTTCAAAACTCTGAATCAAATCCGAAGAAGGAACAAAGCGTGAAGTAGGAAGAGGTAAGAAACAAACCTGAAAGATAGGAATCGTGAGAGCGTGACAACAAACTGGACAATCGAGAAGATCTAGCTCGAACAACGTCCCAGATCGCGCCACCGCATCTCCTCCACCATTTTCGCCAATAGAGGGAACTCGTTGCCTCTTTCGGCGGCTAGTCGAGGCTTCTCCGGCCATAGCTATCGGATTCGCTTCGCTGGTATGTCACCAGATGAGTATAACCCTAAATCCCTTTTCTATTTTCCCGCCGGAAGGTTTTTCTTTCAGAGGTTTGGGTAAAAGATTTCAGAATCTGTGGAGGACATTTTTTCTTACTCTTATCTTTTTTTTTCGTCAATTTTTTTTTTAACGCATCAAAATTATCTTTATATAAAGATTCTCTTTTTAATATATTGGATTTTAATTAAAAACAATTTAACAAAAGTTAATTGTTAAACAATTAAAACATAGTTAATATATTTTTTGGAAAAATTTATAAGATTTTTTTATATAATTGTTTTACTTGATTTCTATTATTTCTGTGCTATATTCCATCAGTTAATTATTAACCATATCTTATAATCCTCTTGTTGAAGAAAAAAAAATCCTTCTAATCTTCTTAATATTTGACTTTTAATTTAAATAAATTATCCACTTAATCATGACAAAATTTTCGAAAAATAACTTTCATAAATTTAATTAAGTTATGTTTTCATATGAATTTTTTTGACTTTCTTAACCTAAAAAAAAAAATCAACATTTTCTAAAAAAATAAAAACACCCAAAATTTTAATTTGTACATGATGAAAATTCAATCATTTTTTTTTGACAGCCAAAATTCTATCATTTTTTCAAATTCATATCCAACTTTTTGACACATTATTTTCTTTATGTTAATAATAACATAAAAAAAAAAACACATATCCATCAACTTCTTTTTCTGCTTTTTAGTTATTATATAGGAATCTATGTGTTTGTTGAATATTAAACCACACTATCAATTCATAAATATACCACTAATATACCACTAATCTGTGCATAGTTTGCAAAAATACAATTACTGTTTCCTCTTATTAAAAAATAACTACTTTTTTTTGTTGGTCAACAATTTAATTTATTCCAAGTTAAGAACATTGTTAACAAAGAAATGAAGGGCTAATTTAGCCAAAGAATCCGACTATACATGGTAGATCTATCATCAACAAACTAGAAATTAAAATTAAATATTGAAAAAACTAAGAGAGCAATTCTAATATCGTGTTGGACAAAAATCAAAGAGGATTATTATTAAAAAGAAACAAACATTCTTATTTTTTTTTTTAAAGGAGAAAGTTTAGCTTTCATAGATGAAAGAAGCTACAACAACAACCACAACAACAAAAAAAAAAACATCATAAATACATTACTAGGCCACAGATATATGAACCTAATAACCTACTACACGAGATATGATGATATGATAATTACTCCTCTTCTTCATCACATCATCATCATCATCAACATCATCTTCTTATACTTGATCTCCTAATCAGCAAATGCAAATTTTCATCTTCAACATAGGGCCTTCGTCTAGTAAACAGAAAGGAATCAACATGTATTTATCCCACGGAGTGTAGGAGCTCACTTCTTGAATCTTATTCATCTCCTCGGATTCAAACGAAACAATGTCACATCCCTTCCGGTAGGTGAGATGATAGGAGAATTCCCCAACTCCTGGAGTAGAAGGTGCTATACAGTTCACAGTCACACACACTCCATGTGACTCCTTGAAACATTGAATAACAACCAATGGACCATCTTCAGATTCTTGAAGGACTACAAAGTCAAAAATGTTCATTGTACGGATGCGTACCCATGCGTCATTGTACTGACCACACTTGAACAATGAGTAATCAGTCTTGTGGTTAGCATGGTAATGACCGTAGAGATCCTTATACACCCCGGTGTAGTTGCAGTTTGTTTCAGGGCAGTAGCAAAGAGTGAAGCTGCATTCCCTCTCATGGGCTGAATTTGATTCTTTCTCATATGGGATCTTCTCGGTGCAGCCATGTTTGGCGTTTGGGCATTGGATAAAGGCTGCTTCTAAAATTTTTTCCAATATTCTAGATCGATAGATACCAATGCTCAAACTGCAGTAAGGGCATTTGTGCTTCACTTTAATACAGCAAGAAGAACATGCTATATGTCCATTGTCACACTGAGATTAAAAACCACAAAGTTAGTGGTTAATATTATCAAAGTTTTAAAGAGAAAATAATCAATATCAAGCAAATCACTAACGGCATCAAAAGAGAGAAGAAAAAAACGTAGCAAATGTATTTTCAACTAGTATAACTTATCAAATAAGTCTTTGACAAAAAAAAAAATAACTTATCTAATAAAAAAAAAACAAATAATAAGAAAAACACCTTATCAACTCTATGTGGCAATCAAGATTAAATTTGAGAAATCGAAAAAATCATCAAATGTTTTCTTGACCAAAAGGAAAGTGTCCTATACGAATCACTGCACGATTTGGCACAAAATGTCGACTTCGGGTTTGTACGTAATTCAAAATTATCAAAAGTTAAAAGTATGTTTTAGCACAGGGGAAACCTAAATGTATGAATTCAACACAGTCAAAATATTGGGGTATGTAAAAGCTGACTTTCCCACTAAATGAAACAAACTTAATATTTGCACTACATGAATTTCAAGCTAATGGATGTTATCTAAAGTCTCATATCAACAAAATCATCTTTCTATAGGACTCGTCAGTACCACTAATTGTTTTTCCACAAAAAAAAGTTATAAACAAGGAAGAAGAGAGACCTGATAGATAGGAGTCGTAAGTTTGTTGCAGCAAATGGGACAGTCCAAAAGATCAAGCTCGAACAGTGTCACTGATCGTGCCACTTCATTTCCACTCGCCGTTCCTCCATCATTCTCCATGGAGAGAACTCTTTGCCTCTTTGGGCGGCTGCTCGATGCTTCTCCAGAGAGGAATAGCTCGGTGTTCGTGCCGTTTACCATCTCTATCGAAGGATAAGAGATGAGGTGTGTTAAGACTTCGCTACTTATAGAGATACAGAAGAAAAGATGCTTAAAACCCTACTTTCCTTATACTTCCCGTTGAACGTTTTTTAAAGTTTGGATTAGATTTTGAGAATTTTCTGTGGATGACAAATTTCTAAGGCTATTATCATTAACTTATTTACTGGTAGATTTTTTATATGAAAATCTAGTCTCTTTATTTTTTTAATATGTTTCCTATTTTATAAAAAGAAAAGTTTAATATTTACTTTTGTTTCTCTTTTTTAATGTAAAAATAATTATGTATTTCCTGATTTTGTCTATACCAATTAAATCTAGCAAAATCTCATTCTAAATTAGATTTATTTCTATTTGAATTGAGTGAGCTGGAGACAATTCATAAATAATATTCCGAATCTGCCCTTACTCACCAAACTCGAGAACCGAATAGCAAAGCGAACTAACGAAATCGGCTTAGCATATGTAAAAGCAAATTTTTCCTAAATCTGAAAAGCAGTGGAGACCATAGGTTGGAGAGGAGTGGAAATATATAGAACGATAACATCCGAAACAGTGAAATCTGCTGGTGGAATCACACTTGATCCATCAAGATGGCCGGTAAGACCATATCCGCCAAGAAGAGCATTGACTTGTAAACTCCACAACAAAAAGTTGGTGCTTGTGAGTTTTGAAATGTTGGACATGTTAATATTAAGGTTGATGGCATCTGTGTTGATTGCGTTGTGTGGTGTGGTTGATATGGTAGAGAAAATAATGAAGACTAATGAGAAAATTTTAGGTTTTAGGAGCGTGTCTGATACCATATAAGTTGAATGTGATAATTCTTATTACTAACAGAGAGTTGAATATACAATTGAGCAAATCATGTCTATGATTGATACAAGTTTTGTATTCATGAGAGAATGTTTTGTTTTAGTATTTTGAGCTTTTAGTTGTTGGATAACTCCGATTTTTTGTAGAGATAATTGACTTGAAAACAATGGATCTGAGTCTACTTAGTTTTTCAATATTTCGTTTCTAAGTCCATAACAAAGAAAATTTTAGCCCCATTTTTTTGCCAAAAATAAACTTACGCACTTTTTCATTCGACACGATCCGGTTTAATACATGAGACATCAATATGTTGTGCATAAATGTCCAAAAATCTTAATAGATTTATGTATATATCTTACATGTTATCTTCCTCGTGTGCCGCCATCGTTTAGCCATGATCGAACAGAGCACCACACTGTAGTAGCAACACCTTAAATTCAACACAATTAGTGTTGCTATTATGATGAAGCTTCCTAAGTTCCAGTGATAATTTACCAAAAATTGATGAAAATGCAATGACAGTTCGACGAAATCCGGTATAAACTCGACAAAAACCGGTGAAAATACATATATATATTTACAAATATATATATATATATATATGTGTGTGTTTACATGCATACAAATGTTAATAATGATTCATGTACATGTTTACATGTATACAAATGTTAATAACGTTCTATACATGTATACATAGATCCAATAACTTAACACTATAATTATTTATAATGCTCTATACATGTGTTTACATATATAAAAATGTCAAAATCGTCTAATCTATATATATAATGAGAGAGTTTTCTCTCCTCTTAAGGTGTCCACATCATCATGTTAAACATCCAATTAAACAAAGCCATGTCATTACTCAATATTTTCTAATTTTTACATTAAAATATAATTACAATGTTCATTTAATTCATATTTATTTATATTGATGTTAGTTATAACTAATAGAAATTTTAATTAAAGAAAAACGAATTAAATATAATAAATCAAATTTTAAAATTGTGAAAGTAATACTATGGCATTTATATCAATAATAATAATATAATTCAACTTTTAACATAAACAAAATTTAAAATGATCATACTTCATATTTTTTGAATAAGTTAATGAGTTTTAGAATGGAAGTCATATTTAAATGCATGGTAGAGTAAAATTTTTATACGTAATTGTGTTTCTACAATTTTAAAGAGAAAAATAAAATTTAAATTGAAATATTAATTTATAAGAGCAATATACTACAAGATTTTCTTTATTATTAAATATTCACTAAAAAAAGTTACTAAACTGAACTTAAAATTTTTCATTTAAGGCAAAGACATTGAAAGAGTCACACTTTTTTGTGAAACTACACAAACAAATTGATGACAAAAAAATTATAGAAACAAATCATGAAAATTCAAAAACGTTATAATCTATCTTCTATAAAAATAATAATAATAATGGTTATATTATCCATGAGTTGTATAACAAAATATACTTAAAGTGATATGTAAGTTGTTAACTAAAAAAAGTGATATGTAAATTATGTAACATATATCTCAAGTGGAACTACAACTCTATAACATAATCAAATAGAAAAACACATTTGAGAGTTTCTCATTTAAATCCAATGTTTTTTAACTCAAAAATTTGGTAAAAAAAACATATTTAAAGTATATTATGTTTATATTTGACAAGACGATGTTAAGTTTGCATCACAAAATTAATAACTCAAAATAAGAACAACACTAAGCCAAATAGTAGTTTGAAATCACAAAAAATAGATGGCTAGAGAGTGGTCTGAAATCTTAATGACTCTATCACGGATGAAGATCAATAACCTTATTTAAGTGTTAGATGTGTAAGTGTTATGAAAAAAAAACTAATATTTTCATAGAAACTTTTTAAGTGTAATTATATATTAGATTATGCAATTAAAAAAAAAAAACCAAATTGTCTAAAAAATATCAAATATACATTTTTTTACAGATATTAGTCAAATTTTTAACGTTTAGAGTTATCTTCTTCAACTGTTATAATTATAAAAATTTGACTCCTATAAAAATATAATATATTACTAAACCCACGCAACGCGTGGGTCATTTTCTAGTATATATAGTAGCGTGCTCAAATTTTTCAAGTTTGAAAAAACAACAATTAATGTTAGTTTATCCGTTATTAAATCTTTGGTTGCATTAAATACCAAAAAAAAAAAATACCCGTCAACTTTTGTTTTTGTCTCATATAAATGTTATACCACCTGACTAGTATTTACTGACTGCCGCTTCATTTATTTTTGCCTAAAACGTCAAGAGCGCTATGCGCATAGACGTGTAAACAACAAATTATATTTTTTTTGTAAATCTTTTGAAACTAAGAGCTATTGGTAACGCTCCATTTTTTTGGTCTGGGACAAAATCACCTTTTGTCGAATCCCTAATTTGATGCTCCATTTTTGTCTCTGCGCTAATCAACCCTTTTTTGTATCAGTCAAAATATTTTAAATTAACTACACAATAAATACTAAAACAAATTCACATTGGATAAAGATATGATTGAATTACCATTCCCAAATAAAATATGCAGCCTAGTACATATTCGTTTAGCATTAAGTAAAACACTGAGCCACGTTTAGAAATGAAAAATAAAACATCAGAAAAGTATTAATTACAAGGCATCAGAAAAACGACCTACAATGGATATGATATGATGATTACTCTTCTTCATCAGCTTTTATTAGCTTGCGTATTAAAATTAATTTCCATCTTAGGACACTGACTCATGAGTAGTTAGGAACTAACATGAAGTCCTTCGGAGTTTGGAAGCTCACTTTCTGAATCATATTCATCTTCGACGATCCAAACGTCATAGCGTTACCTTCCGTCAAGCAGAAGATATCATACGAGAACTCTCCAGCTCCTGGAGCAGAAGGTGCTATACAGTTCACAGTCACATACACTTAAAATATTGGACCAGAACCAATGGATCATCTTTATTTATTTGAAGGACAAAAATTTTCTCACTCATGCTTAGCCTTGCGCGCGTGGAGTTGCTAAAGCTGAATTGATTCCATTTGTCTTTGTGATTAGCGTAGTAGGGACAATTGAGATCCTTGTACACGCCCATGTAGTTGCAGTTAGGTGCAGGACAGTAGCACGGAGAAAAACGACACTCCTTCTCGTGGACTAGTAATTCTTTGTTATTACAGAACTTCTTGGGGCAACCATGTTGGGCATAGGACAGCGACTCTTTCCAGTTTCCGCAATTTTCTCCATTATTCGAGTTTATACCAATGGTCAAAGTGCAGACAAGGCATTTGTTCCTTAGTTTAGTACAGCAATGAGAGCAAGCTATATATCACAATCACTGAAATGCAAAACTCACAAAAGTTAGTTATGAATATTACCAAAGTTTTAACGAGTAGCTAGTCTCTAGAAAAGAAATGTACCAATGCATATTTATCTACTCATCTAGTGGAACTTGTAACCTCACAATATAATTAACAAAAGTTACCAACTCAATGTGGTATTTAATTTCAAGATTAAAAGTTGAGAAATCGAAACAAATACAAGATTATATACAAATCTAAGCAGTAATTCATATGTTTTCTAGAGAAGGAAAATCATCCGTTAGACAAAACGAGCAGCGGGATAGTAGTTAGCACTTAAAGTTGGTTTTATTAAGCCTCTTTTGGGATGTATAATTCCCATTGTGTCTTGGTCTTATACGGATTTTGGTCTCAAACTTGGAGGTTATAGGAAAAATTAAATTATCCATTATGTTTCTTCTATCCTAAGAGTCGACATATGATCTTCCTAATGCATCCTCCTACATCCTTATGTAACGGTCTACTCAAAATCATCCATATGCATAAATGATAAACAACAACTTTTAAAAAATTGGATCAATTATAATCTCTAATACGAATAATCTTTGAGAATATAACATGATTTTCGTAACTTAGGTTAAAAACTAAATGAAAAAACAAATGGTGTTGAGAACATTAAAATTCGATTGGCACATTAAAATTCAATTACGAGATGTATTGAAATGAATGCACATTTCAGATTTTAAGTATTGAAATGGGTAAAATCTTCCCAAATAATATTAGTAGGATTCCCAAAATATTTAAAAATTAAAATATAATTTAGTTTATGCTAGATTTTATCAAATTTTCAAAATTCATATTTTAGTTTTGAAAAATAATAAAGAAAAAAAAAGTGAAATTTAAAAAAAAAAAAGAAAACATATAATTTAAATATTTGACATGTGTCATTAGCTATTTGACTTATTATAACACTTTTATAAAATATATATAAAAAGAAATCTATATGATTTCCAAAAGAAGCAAAGCATTAAAATAAATAAAAATGCAATATGGGATTGAATCCTAGATGAGATTATCTTAAAGAAATTAAATATATGAAAAATAAAATTGTTATCATATAATTCAATTCTTGATTGTATTTGTAAATACATAATAACCCCAAAATAGCTAATTTTAAAGAAGGAAAAAAAAAGTTGAGATCAATCAAAATTATTGTAAATTTGTAAACAACCATATACTTCTCTATAAATCTTTCTTTCCTCTCAAAACATATGACCTTACCTTAAAAGAAAAAGAAAAAAAAAACATAAAAATGGGTTTAGAAACCAACGATTATTACTCCATGATCGAAGATCCAATGCCACCGTCCTCAGCCACTCCTCCTCGTCGTGGATGGTGGTCACGACCAATAGCTACTTTTCCGAATGATCGTAAACCCACTGTCCGGGAAGGTACAGCTTTGTTAACACCCATGTACCTCAGCGTAATCACTTTAATAATCGTGTACTTCATCAACCAAGATCCCTATCAGGCCAAATTCACCATCCAATCCATTGCGGTCTCTCCCTCCACCGCCACGTGGCACGTAGATTTTCTCGTCACAAACCCTAGCTCCATGTATTTTTTATTAGGGATAATATTATTCCACATTGGAAAGGACAAGAGATCTTGACTAGTATATAAGATATATGGGTCTCTCCACTCATTGCCAATTGGTTTTGAGTTGGAAGCCCATGATAAGCCCGAATTTAATATTTTTAGACCGGTCCAAATGAAGAGTAATATATAATAATATTAATTTGATGCTTGAAGCAAATTGTTTCTTTTGTCTATGGTCTTGCAGCTATTCTATCTACTAATCTACTATGGAGGAGATACTGCCGTGAGGCTCGGTTCCTTAAACGCTGCCGTTTTAAATACTTCTCACAAAAGTTATTCTCCAAGTCAAACGGTATTCTCAGTTGATTTTGTTGTGGAGGATCATCCAAACGATGTCGTTTACGAACAATTAGATATCAAATTAAAGGCTAAGGATGATAGTTATCGCGGAGATATTGCTGGACATATTGATATAAGGTGTCGTAATCTAACCCAAATCCATGAGAACGTTGAGAAAATTCAGTGTCACTCTTCTTTCACAGAATTGAAGACTTTAAAAGTTCCAAAGAATTATTGTAAAAACTGAGTAATTAATTTATATTTATAGATAATATACTATTTACGAATATGTTAATTTATTGTTTATTAAACAATATCAAATCTTTCAAAATCATATATATATATATATATATATATATATATATATGACAGAAACTACTTGTAACACAATTAAAAATACTATTATTGTAAGATTTTGAAAGCATATCATTTTAAATTTTATGTCATATTGCTTTTGAAAGTATTTTGATACATGCCGGGAAAGGCATAACCTTCTCTAAGAATCCTTTCGAAAGGACTAACCAGTCTGGTTAGCCGATATGGGCCAAAGTATGGTAAGTTCATGGATGAGCGTCTTGCTCTTGTGCAACAACCGAGAGGGGTTTGAGAGAGACAAAATGCGCCACGTACAGGCTCGATTACAAGATGCTTCCATGTTCTTCCTCGTCGGAATCCGAGTTTAAATGTCAAAGTGTGAATGGATGGATTTTTCTCTCTTGGTTTGGTTTCCTCTTCGATGTCCCTACTCCTTCATTGAGCACATGTCTTTTTAGACTGTGTATCAAGTCCGTTTGTGGTTATGGCTTCCATAGTTGGCGTAGTTGATAATATGTTTAAAACAGCTTTCAAGCGGAGTTGGTAAGAGCAAAAGAAACAACTAGAGGAGTTTAAATCTAGGGACCCCATTTCCAATGTTATCTACGGTGACTTGTCTATGTGTAACCAAACTATTGGTAGTTGCAAATTTATTTTCAAATATCCTAATGAATTTTGTGAAATGACTCAAAATAAATGATATTTTATGTAATTTTTAACAATTTCCTAACTACTCTTTAAAAGTTTAGAAAAGTAATCCTCAATTAATAATATTAGATTAAAACAACCTGGTTTAATCTAAAAGCTATTATCTTGAAACTTTATTTAGTTTTATTAAAATAAGTTAAGTAGTAAAACTGTTTGTACTTATTAATATTTTTGACAAGTGTCAAGCACTGATTAGACTTTAGAGTTATCTAATTGATGTTGGCAAACAAACATTTCACTCTAAACAAGTTTCCAAACTTAAAAATTTTCTCATAATCTATTTTTAAAAGTTAATTAACAAAATATTTTCTAGAAACATCTTAACTTTTTTTTTAAGTGACAAGTTTATTTTTTAATTACTAAAATCTAACTAACATTAAATGATTTTAAAATTTTGAAAATATGATTATAAAATTATACTAAAATTTTCATATTCTATTTTTTTTGGATAAACATAACATTGTATTTCAAAAAATCTTAAAACTTATAGTATCAACAACTTTTAACAAATTAAAGATTTTTAACATTATAATAAAAAAATGTTCTGATAGACATCTAGCTTGTGATAATAAACATGTATCTAACTATCTATAAAATTTTAAACAAGTGTAAAAAAATTAATTTATACTAACATTTAAACCTTAAAATCAAAAAATTCTGTTTTGCTTTTAAATTAATTATGTGTGGATATCATCTAATTAATAATTAATATAGATCAGATCAAAACATTTCATATCAGAAAGAATTAAAGGCTAAATATAAAAATAAAACTTTTCATTTATTTAGTGACAAAAACCCTACCTATATATATGAACCAATCTTAACTATATATGTTGTTCCCATAATGGATAGCGAGCCCTTCAATATTACTCCAGCTTATTGCTGCTTTTCGTACATTGCTACTACCGGTTTCTTCATCTATTTAAAGCTCATCTTAATACATCTTTCCAACAACAAAGAAAAATGTTACATAGAGCTTTTTGCCAATTCTGTCTCCGTCACAAACGTAGACATAAAGGCAAACATTTCCGCGGCCGATTGGAGGATCGGTTTCGCTGCGAATAGTCCAGTCACCGGCTGTAAAATCTCTATACTTACACTCAGTTCTCGTTTACTCCGAGGTGAACAAGTTATCTCCAACTCCTCATCTTGGGAAAATCTCGGAGAATTTGTTCCCCGAGACAAAACAAATATTGTTTTTGAGAAAGTGGTAATGCCGAAACTTATTGGTGACATGATTTGGAATTTACGGGTCAAGATTATGTATGCAGTGAAAACAGATGCTAGATATATAAATGGTTTGTTGATGGCGGATTGTCCCGATATTCCGGTGAAATTCACAACCGATGCGGCCGGAAAGGTGATGGGAACGTTGCTTGGAAATGTGAGACGATGCGAGTATAAATTCCAGCATGACTTGGATTATTCCGTTTTAAATTCTTATTAAGTTTCTTCGATCTTGAATATATGATCTCTATTTAAGAGAAATGATGGCTTAAGGTTATTTATTTTTGTTTTATCTTTGTTCTACTTTGATAAAATAAGATGGGATATTAAGCACATTTGTTATAAGTAATAATATAATTATAAACCATGTGGTTTATATTGTTTATTCATATTTTTTACGCCAAATATTATAATTGTTTTTTCAAAAATCTTTTATTTCGTTTCCTAGATTGAACATAAGGTTTTAATATTAACAAAGGTTAAAAAATAATTCAACCAAATCATGCGAAGCTATCTTGGTAAGATAGTACTCTGAATCATTTATTTGACATAAGTCAATCTTGATCTTTGTGATGTGAATCTTGGAGCTTTTGACTTAATTTTTATAGCCCTTTTACAAAATCGACCTGTATTTGTATATAGCATTTTATTCCAATTACCCAACTCCGAAAAAAAAAGAATTAAGAAAAACTTTGGTGTTTCTTGAATCTTCAAAAACAAAAATCAATAATTGTAGGTACGAAAATAAGCTCAACTTAGTTGTCAAAAGCATAAAACTAATACTCTCTCCGTTTCGTTTTATTTGTCGTTTTAGAGTTAAAATTTTGTTTCATAATAGTTGTCGTTTTAGGTTTTCGATGTAAATGTTTTGTGAAAATTCCAGTTTTATCCCTACTGTTTTAATGTTTCGGCCAATGATTTTTTTTTATAAAATATATTAATAAAGAGTAAAATAGAAAATTTAATGTTTTTCTTAATTTGTGTGAAAAAACCTTAAACGACAACTAAAACGAAACGGAGGGAGTAGTAATAATTTTTTTTTCTTACAAATTGTGGTGTTCGAGACCTTTGTAAGATCATATCTTTTCGGTATTAAGTCATGCCGTTAATAATACCACATTTAATGCGTAAATCACTCTTTCCCAAATGACTTTGAATACTCATTTTCATGACTGACCGACATCCACATGATAACCCTTACAATTATTGAAAGTGGATCTCCCATAATTCCAAATTCATATGCATCTACTGACAATGTACCTGGACAGGATCAAGACCAAATAACAAAACAGTCACGCTTACATTAGTTGCGGGCAACAAAAAGCAGGTAACATATACTCCATACGTTTCATAATATAAGTCGTTTTGGAGAAAAAAATTTGTTTCATAATATAAGTCGTTTTCAAGTTTCTATGCACTTTATATATTACTTTAATATTTTATAATTATTTATATTATGCAGTCTCTTTTATGATTGGCTGAACTTTGTAAAACTAGATCTTCTTAATCTGCATGTTTAAAGATAAAACGACTTATATTATGAAACGGAGGGAGTAGTTTTTCTTATCTCTTATTTATTAGAGTCACAGACACGAAAGCTAAGTCAGAAAATGTAATGGTGCTGCTAGTGAAGCTACCGAGTGATTTGGAAGAAGATATTCTCTCTCGTCTTCCACCTCGATCTCTTATTCGGTTCAAGACCGTATGTAAACGTTGGAACGCTCTTTTCAACGACAAGTGGTTCCTCAACAACCACTTGGTTCGTGCCCGTCCACAATTCATTTTCATAACCGAATCCAAGAGTTACTCGATAGATATCGATCTCTGCGGAACGATAGAGGTACGTGAGTTAGCCGCTGATTTTCCTTGTCATGCTATAGATTTGATGGATACCACCATCATGGCTTGCGATGAGTTCTTGTTTCGTGACTTTTGGAAGCAAGGTGTTGCGGTTTGGAATCCGTGGTTGAAACTGGTTGGATGGTACGAGTACGAGGATAAAGGTTTCATTTCTGCGGTGTAGGATACGATAATAGTATACCCGAAAAGGGTTACAAGATCTTGGGGTATTTTGATTGTCTTCGTAGAGTCAGTGACACTTACGAGGTAGGTTACCGTAGGGTTGCGATTTACGAATGTTCGTCTCATGCATTGAAGTTTATTGATGGCCCTTTCAAGCAGTGGCCCATGATGGTACCTTTGTCCTTGAACGGGAATCTCTATTGGCTTACTCAGAATCCCGAGACTCGTGAGCATTTCATCCGAAGCTTTGATTTCTCGAGTGAAATATTCAAACCCTTTTGTCTCCTACCGTGTCAGAAGAACCGTTCTTCGGATAGACTTATCCTCGCGGTTTATAAAGGAGATCGGTTTTCGTTGTTAAAGCAATGTTATGTAACAGAGACGATTGATATTTGGGTAACGAAGAAGAATATTGATGGAGAGGAAGTGGTGTGGACAAACTTGATGACTTTTCCAAGAACTAACTTGCCTAAGTTAGTTAATAAGATTTGTGGCATTAGTTACTTCATCTTTGACAAGACCCTAATCATATGTTGTGGCGACGGTCAACTTGGAGCGGCTTGCATCTACATATTGAGGGGAGATATGTTCAGGAAGATTCATATAGATTTAGGGATTATTCGGTTTTCTCACTGTGTTTATCTTCCAAATTTGATCTCGGTTCCTTTAGAATTCATATCGCTACAAGTTTAAATTTTTGGATTTTTCTTGTTTTTTAACGGATCTCAATTCCATATATAATTGTGTTCTTGAGGTTTGCGGTTCAAGAACCAGTCAACGACTCCTACAAGAACACCTTTTTCATATATTACCTTCAAAACATGTCACTTTATCAATTCTCGGGTTCTCATTGTGATCGCGACATAAATTGCTTCAAACCCGCTTTACACATATAATATGTATTGTAGTACAATTTTGTAATTAATTTTCATTTTAGGAGATCTATATGGACAAGTTCCACTGTGGATGATGAATCTTTAAACGCCTAATATATGGTGAGTGGCAGGTCAAAACAAACTAAACTATACCTACTTCTACTGACCGAACATATCTAATATATTACCGAGCTAACAATGGTTTCCCTCTTTGAAGGTGAGAAACCAGCCAAGATTCGTAACTCGACATGGTTCGTGCCGGCGACCATTGAGGCTAAGGATTTATTCTCAATGTCACAAGTTCTTTTGAAAGTGACTATTTGTAACCTCCCCGAAAGTTTCGAGGAAGTGTCTTTGACACACCATGAACTCGCTTGTCGCATGTTGCTTTGCAGCCTCTGTTTCTGAGTTTCTATGGATCTATCATCCAAGTTTGATGCATACCCTCTCTATCATTCCATTTACTTTGTAAGCTTGTGCTTCCTTTCTCTCATTGTCTCCAACCATGTGGTTGATGAACTTGTATCTTTTGTCCCTTCCTTTGGGCTTGAATGAATGAAAACACAAGTATGTTTTGCACACACAAAAAAAAAAAGACTATATAATCATCTGCATCTTCAAGTGATCACCAGTACTCTCAACATATAAGATGGAATCAACCTGAAGTCATCTTTTGAAAGCTTTTTTTTCTTGGAGATGACTCTGTGACCTTTTAACTTAGCTGAAATGTTCTCATCTGCATCTTCTTACTCTTTCATTCATTAGTCTCATTACATATAGAAATCTAAGAAAACATGTCTCTTCACCTTTGGTACTAGCTAGAAACATCATCAAAGTCACAAAGCAATTGTCCATCTCCTAACTTTAGCTATACTAAACTAAACGTGACCCATTTATAATCGGGTTTAAGTTGCTTATGGTACTCACCTAGAGATCCATGTAGGAGCCAATGTAGTTGCAGTTTGGTATGGGGCAGGATCATGAACCGAAAACATATATCTTCTCATGGCTTGATGATTCAATTCCTTACGTGGTGCTTTCTTTACACCTGTATATTGCATTTCAACAAGGGACTATGGTTGCTTCATTGATCTTCTATATGGCTCTGGATGGATGACTTTGGATGGATGGATGACTTATATATATATATAATTGCCATTAAAACTAAGCTCAGAATATAGAGGTGAGTAAAGAAACTGAAAAGTCATCCATCCAAAGTTGAACAAAGAATTTATTTTCATCTCAAAGAGATAAAAATTTATAAATTAAACTCAGTTTTTTTTTTTAAATCTCTTACAACATCATCAAAATTATTTGATTATAATTCTATTATGATGATAGATTATCCGAAATAATGTGATTATGATGAACAACTTTCACGAAAAAATCCTCCAATGCAGTTCTCCCGCACTACTCGGTTCCATGAAGGACGGTTATGCATGTATAACATCTAATGGACAGATTCTCTCCGCAACACACGACACCATGACAGACGGTTTTTAACAAATAATTTTATTTTCATTTCAAATATTACCGGTTCCACCTCAGCGGATGACAGGATGATAGTCAACAATGCAATGCCAAATTTCATGTCACATAAAATGACTAAACATTCATTTTAAGAGACATTATTTTTATTTTTTGACGGCCATTAATTTTTTTTATTTCCAGACAATCAGGTTCAATATGTTCACTAATCACAAACACCTTGGTTAATCTCGGTTAACCCTAACATCACTTGGTTAAGGAAGAAAATCTTGTTTGAGAAATATCAAATGAAGAAATCTGAAAGATTCTACGCTTAAGTAACACAAATCAATCATCACTCTATCCTAATCTACCAAATACCTTGTGGACAGGAAGAGATCATGATGTAAATTTTGTTTATAAGTCAAAACTAGCATTAAACTCATCTCAAATGAAGAAATCTGAAAGATTCTACGCTTAAGTAACACAAATCAATCATCACTCTATCCTAATCTACCAAACCCATAACCCAAAGATGAAACTACTCATGATCAAAATAAAAACAAAAGCAAAAAGGATAAATAAATACATGGTTAAATAATCTAAAGAAGATAGAGATTAAAAAGAAATCTTCACTACATCAATAAATTAAATCTTCATAATCAAAGCAAGATTAGGTATTAATCTCTTGGAATGCTTCAACAAATCAACATTAAGGTGGTGTTATTCAATGATGGATTTTAATAGAATTGAAATCCAACACTAATCCAGTTATTCAACTAATGACTCTAAATCTAGCTTTAAAATTTGGTGGTATTGGATCTTATATTTGTAAACCATGTTTAGTAGATTTTATAGTTAGGTGTTATTCAAATAAGATTTAAAATACTTCATTAAAATCCAGTGTTATTCAAATCTAAAAGACTTGTAAAATCTTTGTATATTAAATACTTCTTTGGAGTTTCATGAGTAAATTATTAGAATCAAAATCCAAGATATACTACAGAATTTTTGAAATCTACACAAACAGATTCTTAAAAACAATATCAGAAAAGCAAATTTAAACCTTAAAGAATTGACTTTAACTCTGTGATTGAATAACACTAAGATAAAATTAGTTTAAAGTACTTAAATAGCTCGAACCTAATGGGTGAAATATTTTGAGAAATCTATTTACGTTTTTACCATTAAGAAATCTATTTAAGAATATAAACTTTATTTTTTACTCATTAAGGTTATCCTTTTTTCTTAAAATAACATGTAATAGCTAAGATTTTATACAAGAATGAGGTAATCTTTCAACAAGAAATGAAAGATTTTTTTTTAATTTTTGCACGATATTTACTTCTCTGATAATTGAATATACTTTTGACTTAGAATAAATTTTACGAAGTTTATAGAACACTTATAAATAAAGTAAGTGTTTTGATGCAATATCTAATAATAATATGTTTGCATTCAAAATAACAGATTACAAAAAGAACTACCACTAATTAAATCTCATTCCAAAAACCCCTAGATACTCCTCTTCCACACGATGAGTTGCACTGGTCTTTAGAACTTCACAAGTTTTCTTGTGACAGCTTGTTTTAGCGCAGCAACCTCACCTTATAACCGCATGTCTTTTGAAATAAAAAAAATAGGAGCAGGTGGATAGCGGGCCAAAGCCGAGTTAAACAAGATCTTGGAGATTTTGACGTCGCAGTGGTCTCCCAACTGATTGGTGCACTTCACTGCTCTCTTTCTTATAGGTGGTTTTTGAAAATAGCGGGCCAAAGCTTAGTTAAACAAGACTTTGGAGATTTTGACGTCGCAATGGTCTCTCAACTACACATTTTTTTAAAAATGCAATGCAAGGAAAATTAACATGGACACATAAGGTGAATGAACATAAGGAAATGGAGGATCAATGGAAGGTGGACACCCAATCTATAGTAGGTGGAGGACCAATAGGATCAAGAGATGGAGGACTTACCAACTAACAACTTTTGCTAAATAACTCAATGAGTAATGCGCAAGACCAAGTCCAAGTTTGACATAATTGATTGTTTCCATATTGTGGTGTGCTACCACTTATCGTGTTTGCTAATCGTTATCGTGAATCTATTGTTAATTGTTTGTACAGTCTGAGTACATAGGAATATTTCCAACCCGATGATATGTCAATTTCTAATCGTTGTGATTCTTACACCCAAATAAAAACCTCGTTTATGTCCTCTAACTAATCACAACTGGAAAAAAAAATTATTCTTCTAGTGAATTCCTTGAATAAAACTCCGCCCAAATATATATTGATTTACATTTGAAGTTATTTTTAGTGAAAGGAGGATAAATCTAAGGTGGAGTCCACCTCAACGAAGTTGTCACGAGCATTATTTTTCCTAAATTTGAAAAGTAATTTTTAGAATATATCATTTTAGGATTTAAAATTCCTATACTTCTTGATTTAACTTTGAATTTTTGGAATTCTTGTAAAAATGTAAAATATCTTTAGCAATTTTTCAAATATATAAATTTAATGAAATGCCAACAATATTTCTAGATATCGAGTATATGGATTTATGTAGCGAGCTTTTGATTTTTACAATTTTAAGAAGCATTTCAAAAGGTTTCATTAATGTAAGTATGTAACTTAAGTCATGTGTTCTATAACCGGACGATATAAGTAAACCCCATTACTATTGGTCTTCTGACTTTTTTACTCAACATTACTATTGTACACCAAAAAAAACAATTGGCAGATGAAAAGTGTTTAAGGAGTTTTACTTTTACATAATCTGAAATTTAAATTCCCAACAATCAACACTACAAAAGAACACACATGCCAGCATCAAGATCTCAATGTGGTGCATGAAAAAGAAGCAAAAGCTCAACGTTAGAGAAGGCTTATGATCAAACGACCTAATAACTTGTAAAAATTGAGCAAAGTGATGAGAGGACAGTTCACATCTTCTCAAATGTGAATATATTTATACCCATAGCCAATGCAAATCTGCATCTTCCAGTGCTCGCCGCTCAACATTTTAGGCGGAATCCACATCACGTCATCTTCAGGATGCGTTTGCTCTCTCACTTTCTGAATTTTCTTCACCATTGTTCCAATCCTTACTGTGCTATACTGGTTGAGTTTAGCCAAACTACATGAGAATTCCGGTATTCCCGGAGCCATATGTGCAATACGGTTTACAGTCACATACACGCCTTCCGATCCCTTGAAAGCCTTAACTACAATCAAATCACCCTCTTTCTCTTCCTTAAAAACAACAATCTTCTTCCTACCAAGGTTCATGGTAAAGATTGTAGGACAGTCAAACACAAACGGGATGAGGAAGTCATCCTCATCCCAAGCGTGTGCAGTACTACAAGCATGTCTTTTGAGATTCGCGTATGACCCAACGTAATTGCAGTTTGGTACAGGGCAAGAACAACGGGCGAAAACACAAACCTTCTCATGGCTAGATTGATTACAATACGTGGTTGTTTCTTTACACCCGTATTTCGCATTTGGACAAGGGACTATAGATGATTCAATAACCTTCTCCATTGCTCTGCATCGTATATCCCCGATGTTACATCTACAGAACGAGCATCTCTTGTTCAATTTTTTGCAGCACGACGAACAAGATAGATGCCCATTACTACACTGAACACACAACAAACCAAACTCGAGAGTCATACACTTAATTGAAACTTAAAACACCAATTAGAGATTGAAGATGTGACCTAAATGTTCTTATTCTGCAATTCCATCAACCTAATAAGCTATGCATATCCACGAATTCGATACATGATGAACAAAATTGTGAATCAAAGAAGAAGAAGAAACCTGATAGATTGGTCTCTTGAGTGGCTCACAACAAGTAGGACAATCGAGAACATCTGAGCTCTGTAGCTTCACCGATTGGGATGATTTAGGACTTCCAGATTGTTCATTCGTTACCAGATCTTCGAAATTGTTACCAATTGTCGCCATTCCAGTAACATCTTCTTCATCTTCTTCTTCTTCGAATTCTCCATCTTCGTATCCGTCTAAAGTACTTGAATCTTCGAACAAGTCTTCGTCTAATTCCTCTTCAGATTCATCGAGAGGAGGAAGTCGTTGCCTCTTCGAGAAACGATCGTCGAAGGCTCCTCTACGTCCGTCGTCTTCTCCAGATATCGCCATCTCTAAATCTCCTCCGATGAGTTTTTCACTGACTAGGACTGCTGATGATCTAATGGGGTGTTTTTCAACCCTAGCTGGTAAAATACTACTTTTAGATAACCTTTTGTCTTCAATTTTGGGTTTTTGAGTAGATGTTTCCAAACCAAACCGAACCGAAATTTTCGGTTTTCAGTTTATAGTTGGTTTATGTTCCCATGCGTATGACTGTGTGACGACGATTACGGTTATTACGGTTACGGTTGATTGACCACCGGTTACAGTTATAAATTTTCTTTAACCGTAACCTTAACCACTCACTATATATATATAGTTGTGGTTAATTATAGTTATGGTTATTTGATGATTACGATACAGTTAATATTGGAAGCGAAATCTTAATATTAGTTTTCACAAAAATCCACTTTATAGCCAATCAAGATTATGAAAAAAGGATTTCCTAAGAAATAAGGAATCAAGATTTTGATAATTTTTGTCAATTTTCAAAGAAAATCTAAAATCTATGTTTTGTGAGTTTTTCACTTTTAACGTTATTTGACTTTTTTCTTTCCATTTTTCATTTTTTTCTAATACAAAATCTAAAAACCATAAACCAAAATCTAAAATCTATAAACCAAAAACTATAATCCAAAAACCATTTTAAAACTTGCAAACATTCATGACCTTAAAGTAGATGTTTCCAAACCGAACCAAACACTTCCAGATAACACACAACCAACATCAAGATCTTTACTATGAACAAAATAGATCTCAATGTGATTCACCAAACGGAAGCAGCTAAGGAAAACAAGAGAAACCAAAAGCTTACCATTAGAGAAAGGTTTTTATGATCCAACAACCTAACTTCAAAAATACTTGTAGCAAAAAGATTTAAGAGAACTTTTCATATATTCTTAGATGTGAATGTATTTATACTCACTGCCGATGCAAATTTGCATCTTCAAGTGATCACCACTAACCATATAAGACGGAATAAACATGAAGCCATCTTCAAACTCCATTTGCTCACTCACTTTCTGAATTTTCTTCACCATTAATCCAAGTCTTAGTGTAGTGTACTGGTTGATTTTAGCCAGACTACATGAGAGGTTGAGTGCTTCCGAAGCCATAGGTGCAATACAGCTCACAGTCACAGACACACCCTCGGATCCTTTGAAAGCCTGAACTACAAGCAAATCACCCTCATTCTCTTCCTGAAAAACAACCTTCTTCTTACCAAGGTCCATGCTAAAGATTAAAGGACGATCAAACACAAACATGATGAGATCATCCTCGTCCCAAGAGTGTGCAGCATGAGCATGGCTTTTGAGATCCGTGTAAGAGCCAACATAGTTGCAGTATAGTATAGGGCAAGAACATGGGGCGAAAAAACAAAGCTTCTCATGGCTTGTTGATTCAATCCCATACACGGTGGTTTCTTTACACCCGTATTTCGCATATAGACATGAAACTTTAGTTGATTCAATAACCTTCTCCATTGCTCTGCATCGTATATCCCCGATAGGCGATTGACAGAACGAGCATCTCTTGTTCATTTTCTTGCAGCACGATGAACAAGCTAAATGCCCGTTATTACACTAAACGCAACAAAACACCATGAGTTTGCAAAAATCATCAACCCCAAAATTACAATTTGTAGCCAAATAAAACTTATAAACCTCTAAATTCATACACCAATCATGTGACCTAAAAGTTCTTATTCTGCAATTCCATCATCCTATTAAGCCATGCATCCACGAATTTGATAATAACATCACAAATGTGATATGACTAGATCAAATATCTCTAATGATGATGTAATAGACACGACAAAAACTATGAATCAAAGAACAAAGGAGTGAAACCTGATAGATTGGTCTCTTGAGCGGCTCGTAACAAATAGGACAATCAAGAACATCTGAACTCTGTAGCTTCAACGATTGAGTAGATTTTGGAGTTCCCGATTGTGCCTCTGTGATCACATCCTCGAAATCATTACCACCAATAGTCGCCATTCTCGTTGCAGTAACATCTTCGCTCTCTTCAACTTGAGAAGGAATTCGTTTTCTCTTGAGGGAACGATCGTCACCGGCTCTTTCTCCGTCGTCTCCTCCACGTATCGCCATATCAAGTGAAAATGATCTTTGGGGTGTCTTTTTTGTTTCACTGATTTCTGATCTAATGGGTTTTATAACTTTTTTTTAACCTTAGTTGGTAAAAAAAAAAACAAATCTCAATTCTTCATTTACAAATTTAATTCTTTTTTAAAAAATTTATGTCCTGTATATAATAATTGAGAAAAGTAAATTACTATGACATATGTCAAACTGAAAACCATTTTCTATGTAAATTTATTAATTTTAAATTTTAAATATTTAATAATTTTATCTATTTTTTAAATTATCCAAATTTACTTTTATAAATTTCCAATAAAATTATGATAGAATCTCCAATATTTTTTTATGAAATAATATCTTTGTTATGAAACAGAATCTTATACTATTATTTGGGGAGTACAATTTATAATTATCCTTTAATAATCTTTCCCTTTGTAAGAATTTACTTAAGAATGCCATTAGAGTTAAAATTTCAAAGAGTAAATTAATTCATCTAATTAAGGATAAACAAGTCGAATACTAATTTATGCAATTTAATTAATTTAATTTAATTATAAAAACGAAAATACATTATTAATTTTAAAACAAATGACCAATCAAAATGAATATATAAGATTTGATATCTAACTTACCTTATTAATTTGTTATTAATCATTATATAGTACTTCAACTCTCATCTTTATATGATTCTAATTTTGTGAAACAAATAAATCATCATATCATCTATATAATAATAAAAAGTAAAACTTTTTCTGCATATGCCATGATTTGAACTTTTAAAAACGAATATAAATTGTTCAATCTATGAAGAAAAAAAATGTAACGGGTCAAAAATTCAGACTTGAGTAATATATTTCTTTTAAATACTAATAAATTCAACAAAAATTCTAACGAGTCAGAATTTGAGTATTTATATTCAATTTCATATTTTTTTTTGAAATATATAATTTTATATACTACAATAAAATTTTAAATATTTTAATTTGGAACATTGAAAAATAGTTTTATTTGATATTTTCAAAGAATATCATCAATACTTAATAGATCAAAAATTAAAAATTATAAATACTCTAATTTAGTTTTTTAAAACAAATATATTTAAAAATATTTATAATAGGCAACATGTTAAATATAATGTGTTATATGATACATGAGTTATGATCCTTATAACTATTTGACATGAGTTATGATCATATAATTTTATTTTTGAAATTCAGAATTTAATATACTACAATAAAATATTTTAAAATATTTGAAATTGGAACATTCAAAAACAGTTTAATTTAAAATTTTAAATAATATCATAAATATTTAATAAATCAAAAAGATAAAAGTTATAAATACTCTATTTTGATTTTTTAAAAACAGATATATTTAAAATATTTATAGCAGGCAATGGGTTAAATATAATGTATTATATGATAAAAAGTGTTATGATCCTTATAACTGACGACATGTTAAGATTATATGATGAGATGGTTAAATAATGTTTGACAGTTCTAAATATTTGAAATTTGATTCTGCAAACAATTTTGAAAATAACGAATGATGGATTGTGAAAGCAATTTTTCATTGAGATTCTAAAATGAAAATATACTTCACGCTCGGGTTGAATTTGACATTATTATATATTAAAAACTATATTTTAACCCGCGGTACACCGCGGGATGATTTAATTTTAAAGTTAGTATAAAAATATTTTGTAAATTGTATCTCCTTCTAACATATTTATTTATATTATAGTTTACAATTGTTATTAAGTAACGGTATACCACGAGTCCATGAGACAATTATTAATAAACTGAGGATTTAACCGTATTAAAGCGGTATATAAATATTGATTCAAATTCGTCCGCCATAAATCCTTTCCGAATTATAATCCGTTCCGTAATTTCTTAACCCGTCCCGTGATTTATTTTTATTTTAAAATTCAATAATTATTTATTATATATAAAAGTTTACAAATTATATCATTCTCTAAGACATTTATATTTTAATAAACTGAAGATTTAATATGTATTAAAGCGGCATGTTAATGATATTTTAAAATTTTATAAATATTTTTATTAAGTAACATTATACCACGGGACAATTTTTGGTTTTATACCTTTTTTTCTAAATGAGACTGATTTAATATGTCTAATATTGGTGGTATTAAAAATAAGGATTTAATCCATATTGAAGCGACGGATTAATAATATTTTAATCTTTTTATTATTGTTGATTCAAAAACCCGTCCCGCCAAACCCGTCTGGCCAAAAAACTCATTTATTTTATTAATGTTGACCTTATTTATGATATGATTCTGAATCATTGTGTAAATATTAAATCGATGTAGAACGTTGAACACACATTTTCGTCAATTAGATAATATATGTCCGTTTTAAAATTTCGAATCACAATATATACAGAAAAAATTGATTTTTTTTTACTTTATGTATTATATGATGATTCAAAACAGTTAAAAACAAATCAAATAAAGATGATAGGAGAATCATAATTCTAAATCTTAATCAAATCTTTTAAATATCTAAATTATTAAATATGGAATATCCGGTGTATGAGTTAGGTTAAATATAACCCGACCCAACAAATTTTTTGTGAAGGATTTTTTGAAACGGGTCGGATATCCAAATAATCCGAAAGCATTTTTACCCACCCGTCACCAAAATGTTGCAAAAATACTAGTATAGATATGTTCATAATATATTCGATTATGCAAATAATTGCTAAATTCCATAATTAGCTCAAAAAGACTCTATTTCAACAACAAAAAAAATACAAATTGAAAAATGAACTTCCTAAATTAATTCAAAATCATAGTTAACATCCTTAATTAACTCAAAATAATCTACGTTTTAGATGCGACTCATTTATGATATTTTGATTTTTGATCTAACTGAATTATATGCAATCTCATTTTGTGGTTGTTAACATAAATTAACTCATTTTCAAATAATATTAATTTTCTTAAAATAATATTACTTTCCGTTTTCATATCTTAAGAAAAATTATCCATAATTGAGTATTATATAAAAAGGAAAATATATTTATTATAAAAAATTATATATATGTACTTAAAAAAGAAATATCTTTTTCACTTACTACTATAATATATCAAAACTTTATTGTAAAATATATAATATATAAAATATTGTACTAAACAAAATTAACCCGTACTATAGTACGGGTCATGATCTAGTTCACAATGTGAACTGAAAACATATCACAGAAGTATATGAAAGTAGTTCACATGCAAGTTACATATTGTAACAAAGAAAAATCAATAAATGTTACTTTTTGGTGTTATCTTTAAATTATTTCTTTCACATAGAAATATTTAATAGATATTAAATTAATCAAACCAGCTGAACCAGGTTCAAAAACCATAATTGGTAGCTTGCAAAAATAGCTTGATTTTGTAGTTTATTTGTGATGTAGCTACAACTTTTGTGCTACAACAAATTATCTATTTTCGCCTTCAAATTAGTCCAAAAATCTATCACAGAAATGGTACAAACACTTGAAATGCAACGATATATGGTTGTAGCTACATATAAAAGGCGTAAACGCTGGAACACAAGTTCTATTCAATGGCAGCATAACCATTCTGTGTCATTGAGCGCTCGGATGGCAAGTTAGTGTTGTCTTTCTTGGTTCCTTCAACTTTCCAAAGATCCCAGACTTTGGTTTTCGGAGGAGGAGTGCCATCTCCGATTGGAGCGATTAGTCCTGGTTTCCCATCATCGATTACAGCATCGATCAAACCATATTCTTTCGCTTCCCATGGATTCAAGAAATTATCACGGTCTGTGTCACCTTCGATCTGTGAAGGATAACATAAACGTGTAAGGAAAAGACTCAAGTCGAAGAAAACTACCAAAAGATACGCAAATACCTCTGATTCGGGCTTTCCGGTGATTCTAGAGAAGATCTTGTTTAGTTTAATCTTGTGGTACATCATTTCTCTTATGCGTATGCTCATTTCCGTTGCCTGAAAGTACACATTCAAAGGATTGTGTTATCCAACACATTTTCAGTAGAAGAGTAAAAACCATTAGAGAAGACATATAAAACAGAATCAAAGTATCGTACTTTGCCTCCAGCGGTACCAAGTGGCTGATGGATCATAACTTTAGAGTTAGGCATGCAATACCGTTTCCCTTTTGAACCAGAAGCAAGGAGAAACGCACCCATAGATGCAGCTAGTCCTAAGCAAACAGTCGATACATCCGCCTTACATTGTTTCATTGCATCATATATTCCCATCCCTACAAAAAAAACAAAAGCCAAACCATTACAAAAACTGAAAACTCGATATCCACACTAAACATGTCGAGATGGCAACGAACATACCAGCAGTAATAGATCCACCGGGCGAATTGATAAACAGCGTAATGTCTCTCTCTGAGTCCTCAGCATCTAGCAACAAAAGCTGACTTATAACCAAATCCGCAGTCATATCATCCACCTGGAGAATATCAAATTCAAGAAAAGCTGTGTCACGGACTCACGGTAGAACAAGAATATATCGAATTGATCTATCGAGTTGATCAAATCTCCATGTTAAGGAAAATACTAGAAACAAGCTTAAACTACATCAAATGCTCCATTAATCATTCCAATAAGCACAAAACATCAACTTCAAGAAAGCTGAGTCGAAGTAACACAAAATCTCCGAAACTCTACTCTCTCTAACTCTCATCAAACAATAGAAACAGCTTAATCTACATCAAATGCTCCATTAACCAACCATTCTAATCAACACAAAACAATCTATTTTGCTTTAAGAATCAAGAACTCTGATACAAAGCACAACTTGAAAGAAAAAGCTCATGTTTTTATAAAATCAATCTCTCAACAAATTCAATTTTATAGTGATATCACCAAATTGATTATCTACACAGAACCAATTCCACTATAACAAGGATTACAAAAAAGGTGAGAAATTTGATACCTGAGAACCCAAAAAGACGATTCTTTGACGAAGCAACATGTTTGTGGTGTCGAGTTCTTCGAAACTTGGAAGCCGTGAAGGTGATTGAGCAACGGAATCAACGGAGAAGCTAGAGACATCCCAGTTACTAGATAAGGTTTGTCTGGGTTTAGATGAGCTCATTGAAGACCTAACGCAAAAGGGTTTCGTTGTTTTAGGGATTCTCTGGTTTCGGATTGGGAAATTAAGCTTTTTTCCTGGATTTATTAGACAAATTGGGTTTGAGGTTGAAGATGAAGCGAGACGCAAACTCATCTCCATTTTTTTTTTTTTTTGGTTTTGGAAGTTTTTTTTTTTTTTTTGAGTTCTGAGATTTTTTGTTAAAGAGGATGAAGCAACTGTGGAAGAGCCATTTGGCCAATTGGTTAAACAAGGGTTAATTAATGCTTCTACACCCAGAGGTTTGGGGTTCGAATCCTAGATACTGCGATTTATTAATAAATTTCCAGATTATTGGAGGCAAGTGTGTAGGAGATCTCCAGCGATGTACAATTATAGCCGTTCGCCAGGATTCTACGCAGAGAGGGAAGTGTCCATCAAGAGCATAAAGAAGGAGGTAAAGGAGGTGAGTATGAAGAAAAAGGTGAAGAAGGTGTCGTCTATCATGGGTCTAATAAGGGTCGGAAGGAATTGTCCGTTGTAGAATCATCTATGTAACAATTCTCATAATTTGCAATAAATAATATATCCAGACGTAAAAAAAAAAAGATGAAGCAACTGATGTAAAACGCTGTCGTTTTACGACCATGAAAGTGTACAATTTTTTTTATGTTACGTGTATGATTCTTCTACTCTCTTATTGATTTACAAGTTTCAATCTTAGACATCGAACTCAAGTACTAAGTTCCAATTCGAACAATTTTGGATTTTATTCTTCAACTTGTTTAATTCGTTGTCTAATAATTAAGAATATGTAAGAGTGTTCAATCCAAATAATAATAAAAAAAAAAGTTTATCCGAATTAAATCGAAATAACCTATTTCAGAATATATTATATTGGGAAAACGATTTTAATTCAAACCTAACTGGAAAAAAAAAAACTAATACAAAACTTTTGAAAAGCTCAAAACAATTCTATACTATTATTTGGGGAGTACACTTTATAAGATACCCTTAACTAACCTTCTCTTTTGTAAAAATTTATTTAAGAATGCTATTAGAGATAAAATTTCAAAGAGTAAATTAATTCATATTATTAAAGATAAACAAGTCAATTTATACAATTTAATTATAAAAACAAAAAATACATTATTATTATTATTATTTTAAATGACCAATCAAAATGAATATATAAGATTTGATATCTAACTTATCTTATTAATTTGTTATTAACCATTATATTTCACCTCTCATCTTTATATAATTCTATTATAGTGAAACAAATAAATCATCATATCATCCATATAATAATAAAAAATAGATTTTTTTCCGCATATGCCATAATTTGAATTTTTAAAAACGAATAAATTATTCAATTTATGAAAAAAAAAATTTAACGAGTCAAAAATTTAGACTTGGATAATATATTTCTTTTAAACAAAAATAAATTCAACAAAAATTCTGCCTGAATAACGGGTCAGAATTTGAGTAATTATATTCAGTTTCATATATTTTTTAAAAATATATAATTTTATATACTACGATAAAATTTTAAATATTTTAATTTTGAATATTTAAAAATAGTTTTACTTGATATTTAAAAACAAATATCATCAATACTTAATAAATAAAAAAATTAAAAATTATATATACACTAATTTGGTTTTCTTAAACGGAGACTCACAAAAATACTCCTTTTTCAATACCCTTTTTCAAAAATGCCCCCTTTAGGTGTTCATTTTTAAAAATACCATTTTTTATGTAAAAAATGACTAAATTACCCTTCTTTTAGTAAAAGACATCACAAATATATAAGAAAAACACGAGAATGTGCACACATCAAAATTAAAAATTTGATTTTGTAAAAACTTGTAAAACCTTTAAAATACCTTGTAAAATGTTCCCGCAAAAAAGTTTTCCGCCAAAAAATTTTCCCGCCAAAAATTTTTTTTGCAGGAAAAGTGATTCCGCAATAATTTTTGGCGGGAACATTTTACAAGGTTAAATGTAATGTATTATATGATAAAAAGAGTTATGCTCTTTATAACCGAAACCATGTTAAGATTATATGATGAGATGAGTTAAATAAGGTTTGACACCTCTAAATATTTAAAATTTTGATTCTATAAGTATATATGAAAATAATGAATGGTGGATTGTGCACACAATTGTTTTTATTGGAATTCTAAAATAAAAATATAGGTATGTACGGGTTGAATTTAATCTTATTATATACCAAAATATGTTTATTATATACGCAATTTTTTTTCACTTACTACTACCTTATATCAAATACATACGTTTTATTTTTAACCAAAAAATGTAAAAAACCGTAAAAATCAAACTGTAACTAAACCGAATTACATACGGTTTCTATATGGTTTCACTTTCAACAAAACGAAAAAACGATACTAAACCGAAAAACAGTACCCCACCCCAATATTTTCTCATCAAACAAAATAAAATAAAAAAATCCTTATATGTCATTGTATTATGTAAAGAATTATTAAAATTGTACTACAAAACAAACAATAATCCAACTTTATATAAATATTTAAAAATTAAAATTTCATTTGTGCTCAGCACGGGTTATGATCTAGTTAAAAATATATTTGGCTAAAATATCATTGATTTTGTAATCTCGATTTGATATCAATGTATTTAGCTGAATTTTTATTATTTTCAAAATTAAAATTCGATACCAATATCTATATTGAACATCCTTTAAAAATGATTGAACACGTTGTTTTATTTTTCGGTTTGATTCAATTTTTAAGGATATGGAACATATGAATCCACTGATTTTAGTTTCGAATTAATTTCTGTGAATTTGGATTCCTGATTTTGATTAATCTACGTCACATACTTGAACACCAAAAAAAAGAAAAAAAACACTGATATATGACCAAATCAGTTTTCTTTGAAAAGAAATTTAAAGGTTATTAAGAGCTCCCAAAAGCACCATCAACAGTCTTGCTTGACACCAACATAAAAAAGATGAGAAAAGGTCTGAGCATTATGTTAAACAAAAAAAAAAATCCACCAACAGGTTTGTAATCACTTCCGCAGAAAAGCAACCGTTGCTACACGCGATCCTACAGACCCACCAAACATGAACGTCGGGTATGTCCTAACGTGGCTGAGATACTCAAACGGAGGTTGATCAATTCTGCTTGCAGCTTCAGAGCCAGAGGAAAGCGAATTGGTAGCGTCATTTCCATCTCCTCTACATAAGTTGGATTTTCTGATGTTGAAATTCTCTACTTCTTCCACCAGTTCGTCCTTTGTGTGGTTACACGATGTGATGACCTTTATAGAAGCAGAAAGAATTCAGATAACATACAGGCAGTTCTTAAAAGTGTTCTACGCCCAGCGGATAGCAAAACAAGCCCATATCAAATAATATTAGGATGAATTTGCATTACGTATCCTATGCGTTAAATACCCTTTAGATTCTTTCTAACAGCATAAACTTATGTGCTTTAGCCGCTTTTAACTAAATCTTATTCAGGAGTTGAGATGCTCTTACCAATATTCCACCAGGAGCAACCAACTTGGACACTGAATCCCAGTACATGACTCTGAAACAGAAATTGGAAGCGTCATTGGTAACCAAATCTAACTGTGTGCTGAATAACAGAAAGCAAGTACGGTAGTTTTCTATAGAGGATAGCAATCTAAGGAGGTACCTTTTGACAGGGCCATCAGGATGCAAACCAATAGCATCTAAAGTTCCTTTGTCCATTACCAGCTTGAACTGCTGTTCCAATTTTGTGTCAAGGATATCATCAACCTAAGAGAGCGAAGCGTTAGTTCCACAATGTAGAGCCCCTTAGATCTATTTTTCCCAAATCTTTTTTATGTGATGTACTACTAGATGCTAATTGCATGTAAGATACATATCCCATTGCTTGATCAAGGTCAGTTACCATTTTCAAGAAAGAAGAGATATACACAAAAAATACTGCATTATTGTGCTAATAGCATTTATACTTTTATGGAGGAAGACTCCTTGTCGTGGTTCTGTAACTCTTTTCTATATTAAAGCTAAACAAAGTCATACCATGAAACGGATATTAGGATAGCCATCACGTTGGGAAAGATGTTGAGCGAGTTCTACCGCACCTTCACTATAATCAGTCCCGGTTAAATCAGAGAACCTGGGTCAGAAAAGTGCAAGGATGATGAGATTAATAATGTCAAACAAGAGTAGATTCTAAATATAAGATTCTAATGGCCAGTGTGTAATGTTCTGTTTAACTTAAATTATCAATGATAAAGCTTAAATGTGATAGCACATTCATGATAGTTTGGGGTTCCATACATTAATGAAACAAGCTCGAGGGTTAAATGCCTTAGGTATACACTATACAGATATAGTAACATTTCTGTTTCACTGCATAGGGGGACTTAAGCCTCTCTGAGAGAGGCTGACTTCTGACTTTCTATACTATCTTCTATAGAATTTTTTCTTTTATCATGACAAACAATGGTTGCTTTCCATGTGAAACAGCTTCAGAACTGAAAATCGTCAAAGCTTACTGTGTCTGTCAAGACTCATATTCCCAAAAGACTAGTGATATACGGGCACCATCTAGGGATCCTCTATAAAGAAGAAAGTCAATAGAAGATCTCGGAAGAAGAGAAAACCAGTACATGAGACATTATGACAGCTATTTTTATCATAAATGCTACATGATTCTAAACTTCTCAGACTCACCTAATGGCAATCGGCTAATGTAAAATGACGAATGACATAGTACCCATGGAAAAAGGGTACAAAGACACTATTATATACAGTAACGACATATACTTAAGCATTTTAGGCCAAAGCTTTAAGAAATGTTTAGAAAACTCACCCTTCCTTAGCAAGTTGATGAAGGAGTAAGCCATTTCCAGTACCAAGATCAAGCACATTCCAACTAGACAAATACTTCTCAGCCTGATCATTCACCTCCGTCGTAACATCGTTGTCAGAAACAGACATGTTTTTCTGAGAAATCTCAACACATAAGTCTTTAGTCCAAGAAGTAACAATCTCCATAACATCATCTCCAAACCTAAAATTACCAACAAAAATAAATCAAAGAAGTTAATTCACTTCCACTAGCATGATCAAAGATCTATAGTGAGATCTGAAAGTTACCAAACTTCGCCAGCATGACCATGCTCCCTGAAATTAGTAAGCTCATCGGAATACGCAGCATCCCAATAGCTTAGAAGACC